AGATAATTTAAAAGATTTAGGTTAACTGAATGTAAACGATAATTACTACAGGCACAATTATCAGAGGGAGGGAATACATCTCCTATAACCTTGTATTGACCTTAATACGTAGTTTTGTGTCGAATAAATATAATTCTTGACAGATGTACCTTGGAGATTACATGTCAAATATAGCAAATCATTTATGTTGACTTTTGCGCTGCTTAACGCTGCAATTTCAAAGCGGGTGCAATTAAATCAAGCAATAAGCAAATAATGACTACTTGACCGACAATATATTACATTATCACTTGTATATCAAAGTCATAATTACATATAATGTTCCTGTTGTTGATATGTTTCATAAAAATTCATTTGTAGTTGGTCTGTATTATTGTACCTTTGGTTTTAAAGAAGCCTTATGAAAAATTTGACGTTGAGCAAAAACTACAATTTGATTTAAATTGTTTCAGTGTTTCATGTCTATGATTTGAAAAATCAATATACTTGGTGTGTCATTTCTCATGTATATTTGACTCACCATCAATGGTTTAGGATTTAAAAAGACATGTTGCATTGTCCGTCGGTTCGTTTGTTGTTTTATCTTTTAAAAGAATCAGTAAAAGGGGGAGTTAAACTTTCCTTAACTGGTTAAAGGAAATTAATTCCTCAAATGAAATATTATTCTATTCAGGTTCAGGTGACTAGAATTGAAGAACCTGACATCGACATCATCACCAAAATACAACAAACAAACAAACAAATCAAACATATCTTATCGTCTTGTCCTATTTTCTATTGTCTTCAATGATTTTTCCCGAAAGACCAGAAAAATTATAACAACACTGAAGTGAAGTACAGGGCAGCTTTTCACAACTGCCATACAGTACAAGCCATTGCTGCAAAAATAAAATCTGGTAAAGGGGTGATCTCTAAAAGAATTGAAAACAGCATACAATATAACAATTTCAGATTCAGTTTGATTGATTATGTTCACGAGAGAAGAAGAAAACGTGCAACATCTCTGATGCCCCTAGCACCGGCTTAAGTTGCTTTTAATCTTCAACATTGACGAGCTGGAATCAATCATCCCCGAAGGACCAGAAAAATATTATAACAAAACCGAAACAAAGTCGTACAAGTAGGTCGTATTTTGGACAAGTAAGTTTATTTGTGAATATATGAGCTGATATCTTTGTTTCCTGGTGAATTGGCGATAACATTTACAATGCTCATTATTCTTAGTATTGATAAATGATGTTTATACTAATGTTTATATCATTGTATCTATGTTTTATTTGATTCATTAAGACAAAAATGTGTTGCTCGAATCGTTCAAACAAAGACCATTCACATTTTTCTGAATTCTGTGCTCGTGGATATTTAGACAAATCGAAATGAGACAGTGTCACAAAATTGGGTATTTTTCAGCGCATATTGTATTCCCAATTTAGTTAATCAAACTACTTCTCTTAATATCTGTAACATGCGCACATATACAAATATTAGCAAGACTTAATTGTATGAATGAAATATAGGCCTACTGTATGACGCATTTCATGTAAAAGTGAGTTTCTCTAATTGCCCGCACTTATTATTTTTAAAAACCAACGTTGCGTCTGCACAATTTGCCTACACAATATGCACTGTATGCATTTTTGAAGAAAATGTCTGTGTTTATTGTCGAAACATTTAAACACTCGGCAAATGTTATGGCAAATACATCATTACTATTATTATAGTTACTATTTTTATTGATTGTAGTCCATACGGTCAATGTGCACGACGCCAAAATGTATGAAGTTTTATTTCATTTGCTGACCAGATGCACTGTCTGCTGACTAAATTTTGCCGTCAGGTCAGGGTCCAATTTGTTTGGTTCCCTATATGATAAGGAAAACATATCTCAATATAATAAACAAGTGCCATGACTACACAGGCTGGTAAGATAAAACTCCAGGGAATACAGATGCAATATATGCAGTCAAAAGACTACAGCTTGAATTTCCCATGAGATTTTGTTTTTTACTAAGCTCCTTGTCATCTTCACAATAAATGATGCTATCACAGAATCTGTAGACTGTTTATTAGAGATAAGAGCAGCGTTAAGTGACCCATTGTGACTTAATAATGTCTATCATGAAGCAACTATTTACTTAGTTGAAATTATGTTCGCTCGTGCTAACTTAATTTCGAATAAATGCAAATGTGCAAATTACAAAGAGAGCTTGCCAAACTGTCTACCATTATGCAGGAAATAATACCCTAACCTCAAATTATGTGCAGCATTCTGTATGGTCCATGTGCATCATACACAAAAACTGAATTAACGCAGCTCGGACAGAATCAGGTACTTCTATCTATGTTCTCAGTTCGTACAGTATTCTTGGTGCACTATTTATATCCAACTGATTGTATTCTTCTTTACGTCCTTTAACTAAAGTCAACAGATGATATTTTTCTTGACAGATAAATAATAGTACACATTCCGAGGTTCACACTGAAATGTTTCAGTTCATAACATCAAAACTTGGGTTTAAGACCCAAAAGTCTATCAAATTGAATCAAAATGTTTTCATTTACGTAAAAACATTTCGAAATGCTAATGACGCAAAATGATTAAAACTTAATGCAGCTACAGATATTCGAGAAAGCTCGAACAGAAAAAAGGAAAAGGAAACCAGATTCAGAAAATTTTGCTCTATCCTATGGTGAAAGTATATGGTTACCAAATGAATATATATATTTATTATATTTATTTGTTGTTAATTATGCCATACTAATACTCATACATGTATATTTTCATCAAGTCTCAGCTGGGATATATAGAGAGAATTAGTAGACGTTGTATATGATTTCTTATCCAATTATAATGTATAGAAAGAGAAATAATGATTTTCACCATTACTTGATAAGTGATCAAACGGTTATCTCCCTTCTCGTGCAGATTATATATTAACGTATATGACAAATATAGAACGTTATATCGAGTTGCTAATGTATTAGGGGATTTAAATACAAAGTTGAAAGAAGCTGAGGATCTTAAATTGGCTTTCCCGGCTATAAACTATGCCCATGAAATTTTATTCAAAAGGTACATAATTCAAATAAAACAAAACATATATCACCCATTCTCAATAAAATAAAGCATTTGAGGTTGAAAAATATTAAAAATTTGATGTTGTCATTGTCATTGTGTCATTTTTTTATCGCTAAAGTAAAAGTTTAGGGTATTTTGCAAAATTTGCCAGAAATATTTTGAACAAGAAACTACAATATAACAGGATGGCATTTATTTCGGTAATGACACTGTATTTCTTCGGTAACGTAGATTTCAGGTCTAATAATGTAACATATTGGCTGCATATTAATAACAAATGTCTGTAAAATATATCAAAATCTGTAAATTCTCTATCTAGAGGGACTTTCTAACCCAAGAAAAATTCAAGGAAGTTGGGTACCTTACTAATTTTCAGTTAATTTCTTCAAAGTTAAATATACGTAGAAAGCAAAAATGGTCAATTTCGGAAATGATTATTTTATGTCTTCATTCAAAGGATATATATCATATATAATATATGAGAGGTCGAATGCATACACAAATGTTGTATTAGCATTTTTTATTCAAAACATTCAACTTTCCACTTTCTAAATATTTGGAAAATTTATTGCTAAGCAGTTCTATATTTATCCCCATATATGATGTCACGTATGCTTCATTTTATTCGAATGCAAGTAAAGGTTGAGAAAACAATTTTATTTTTTGTAAAATAATTTATTTTTATGGATATTATTTTAACATTATTATATATAGAATGAAATACGGCCAGTAAGCTCTTTGCAGAAACGAATTAGTTGTTGCTGAGAACTTATTTTGATTTCTTTATCCATGTACTTAGATGTGCTTATGCTTATTTTTTTATACATGTCTGTTTTAGCTAATCTATAATTCTTTTATATTTATGTATATCTTTTCTTTGTATTATCTTGCATGTAAGATATTATAGCATCATAGCACGTTTAAAAGTTACAAAAATTACAAGAAAGATAATACAAAACGGTAAGATATAAATGTTTACATTCTTGTAAAAGAATTATATTAGCTAAAAATAGACCTGTATGTAAAAACAAGGAAATTGCATGGGACTATCACATAATGCAAATAAAAAGTAACACTATAAGCATATATATTTTGATAAGGGAGTACACTATAACCAATAAAGTTTGAAACTGACAAAAATATTTTCCAGCCCAGCTGGTAAACGTATCTTTGGGCCGAGCTGTGGGACTGCAGCCCTGAAGTCCAGGCCTGATTCCGCCACTGGGCATAACGTTGCAACATCTAAAGACTATACATATATAAGCACATACAAGCACATGTTAAGCACATACAAGCACATCTTAAAGACCCATATATGTGAAAAAATAACAAACAGACGACACATTAATAACTTACTGATACTATCAGTAACTACCAATGATTTAGTAAGGATTCAGGTTGCTTGAATTTGATGTTTGACATCTTTAATTAAAGGTTGATCCCCATCGACTTGTGGTTTAAACAAACTGCATCCATATTGAACCCCTGGATACTTTTCATTGTTATCGTTATATGAACCCCTGGAAGTTTTAAGGGATGTAAATCCCTGATATTCTTGGGAACTTTGTCTTGTTCTGCTATACTCATTAGTAAAATTTTCTGTGATAAAATGGTGACCTTAAATGTAATTGCATCCTGTAATAAATTTGAAAATGGTACAATTGAAAACAGTACACAATCAGTCATGTTAAATTGTGCGGTTTTTAAACTGAGAAGCCTAGTACGGATACTAGAAAAAAGCACTTCCCTTATTACCGGATATGAAAAAAATGCGATCACCTACGGCTTATAGTTAGGAAAAAATATAGTAATGAATAGATTTGGTCAAATAGGCTTTTCGATAATACTTCTTTAAATCTTTTTATAGATAAGAAACATAACTCCTGATATCTTTTGTAAAATCTGTTTTTTTTAACCTTGGTCTATATGTCGTTTATACCATACTAAGGCCTTTGATTTTAATTATAGGAAGTCCTTAAATATTAATAACTATTCATTGCTAGCAGTTTAAACCGACGTGAGAAGTTCGTAAATAAATACAAATTTATCTGTTTTATAAACATTGTCAAATTGAGATAAGGTAGGAAACTTAATTGATCGTTCAGGTAGATTGCTATTTGGTTTTCAAAATATTTTTGTGTTCTTTTGTTTAATTTTTTTTACATATTCTACAGAGGTATATATTTCGGATACACTTGTTTTTCTGACTGCCAGACGTTTCTCTGGATCTGGATGGTACGTTGCAGGGCCTTTCAGCATATAAGAAACGGCAGAGAGGAGTTAGTACAAATGGAATATGGCTGATTTTAAACAGTCAACTGTCTTAGCTTGTGCAACACTATCACTCAATTTATTCCAATCGACAATTGTTTGTGGTTTAACCACAGGGGATTCTGTCTTTTTTTTCTTTCCCACTATATATATAATATAACAAGGGATACAACTCAAAATTGCTTAATTCATGAAAAAGTAAATAGAACGCAGTATACAACAGCTTTTGATTGTTGGACATTCATACAAAAATCGATAATTTAAAAAAAAATGATTCACTTTGATACATGGACAAGATATTATTAAAATTAACATTTCGTGTTTCATTTGTACACACGTTCGTAAAATTTTGGTTTGTAAAACGATATCTAATGCAAATGTATGCTCATATAAAAAAGTTTAATCATGTAATCAGTTAAAAATCAATCATCTACCACCATCAATGATGAAATCATTATCTTCTGGTACAAATTATTGTAACAATTATTGTTTGTTTTGATAATTTCTATCCTCGGCAACCATTTTGAATGTGCCCGTATGTTCCATGCATAAACCCTATTTCTCTTAGTGACTGTCAATTCCGTTGCAGTCAATACGAAAGTCAAAATTTTTTTCCAGCCACAAGGACTGGGATCCTGAGATTTATTTCCGGCCCTGATGATTTTTTCCCGGCCCGGACTCTGAAAGGTATTTTTTGTAGGGGTGGGGGAGGGATAATGCCATAATTATAAACAAATATATTTAGCACATATGAATTATCAGACTCAACTATAAGATACTACGAAAAAAATATACAGAAACATAATAAATAAAACATTAGTATAATTCATAAGGAAACGATACATCTTTTAAAGGTTTAATTTGAAGATTGGAGAAAAAATATGTTTTGGTAAGGAAATTATCCAAGACAAGATGATGGCTTACATTACTTAGCAAAAACTGGTTGTATCTTGCGGTGATTTTGGTTATCTGGGTCTTTGAATACAAGCAAAAATGAAAAAAAAGATTAATCTAGGAAGTTTTGCATATTTTAGAAGGCCAAAAATTGTTTCAAAGTGGCTGAAATTTTACTAGGACTTGAGGACTGACTGTATAGAAATTTATCTCGGCCCTCCTGATTTTTAGTTGGCGAGGTCCGAGGACCGACAGACTTAACACAGACTGTCATTGGCTAATGAATAATAATAATCTGGAAAATGACAGCGTATAACTGCGACGGATAGCGTTTTTTTTTCATCAGCAAATGAAAATACTCGGAACATAAACACACCTGCATAATGATAATGGATGACAGTTTGACAACCAATGTAAATATTGAAATGTAAGTTATTTCCTGAAATGTTACAGGTTTTAATGAAGAGTTTGTAGTAGAACTTGGGTAATAACTCGTTCATATATTAACTTCTACAATAACTTTTATACAGTTTACACGTGTGAATGCATTTTACGAAACCATGCTGGTAATGGGAGACCACAACTTGTATCCCTTGTTTATATTATATATATAGATTTAATAACATAATGACAGATTTCCCTGTGGTTATAACTAAAGTTTTACGCTTCACAGTTTTAAAGCATTAAGGGTGATTTACTGCAAAGACATTTCACTCCCAAGAGAGTGCACACCTTGGCGTCCCCCCCACTATTTAGATTTTATTGATGTTACTCCATATCATTTTTTATTTTTGGAGATGTTTGATAAAAGAAGTTAACAAATTTTCTTTTATTTCAAATGATTATAACTAATTACATGTACTAGATCTAGTGTTGCATATGATAACAGGCAATAAACAGATAAAAAATGAATGCTATAAATGTGACCTGTCAGAGATCTGTATAATTATATCATTTAATTTTTTGATGCATTCATTAAAAGCAAGCCTTAATAACATTTACTTGTTCAACAATTGAGTTATGATTATAACTGGATAGTGATAATAGTTTGGTCTGTGGAATTTCCAAAATATGAGGTACTGAAAAACCAAGCCAAATTTATTTGGCATTAACAATTTTATAGACTGTTTTAGCTTGGTTATTTAAAGGTCTTTAGCTGTTGTTCACACTCGGGCGTCAGTGTCACACTTTGGTTCAGTTTTTTCATTATATGCCCGAAAGGGCATATTATGTTATACCCCCTGGCGTCCGTCTGTCTGTCTGTCCGCACCCACAGGACAGTAATTATGTGGCTAGAGGGACACTAGGTAACTGTTCTTTTTCTTTGATGTCATTCATTCCGTAATGCTTTTATGTGGCTATTTTCTCTTGTGTGGCTAAAAAGAACAAAAGAGAGAACAGTAGAATAGCCACATAATTACTGTCCTTTGAGAACATACGTCCGTCCGTCCATTAGCAATTTGGTTTCCGGAGCATGACTTAAGTTCCATTTGGCCCACAATGTTCAAACTTCATAGGATGATTGTCCATATTGGGTAGAAAACCCCTATTGATTTTGGGGTCAAAAGGTCAAAGGTCAAGGTCACTATTACCCTAAAACTGAAAACAGTTTCCGGAGCATAACTTAAGTTCTATTTGACCCACAATGTTCAAACTTCATAGGATGATTGTCCATATTGGGTAGAAAACCCCTATTGATTTTGGGGTCAAATAGTCATGGGTCAAGGTCACTATTACCTTAAAACTGAAAACAGTTTCCGGAACATAACTTAAGTTCCATTTGACCCACAATGTTCAAACGTTCATAGGATGATTATCCATTCCATATTGGGTAGAAGACCCCTATTGATTTTGGGGTCACAAGGTCAAAGGTCAAGGTCACTATTACCTTGATACTGAAAACAGTTTCCGGAGCATAACTTAAGTTCCATTTGGCCCACAATGTTCAAACTTCATAGGATGATTGCCCATATTGGGTAGAAGACCCCTATTGATTTTGGGGTCAAAAGGTGAAGGGTCAAGGTCACTGTATCCTTAAAACTGAAAACAGTTTCCGGAGCATAACTTCAGTTCCATTTGGCCCACAATATTCAAACTTCATAGGATGATTGTCCATATTGGGCAAAAGATCCCTATTGATTTTGGGGTCACCAGGTCAAAGGTCAAGGTCACAATTACTTTAAAACCAAAAACAGTTTCTGGAGCATAACGCAAGTTCTGTTTGGCCCACAATATTCAAACTAATCTAAGGATGATTGTCCACATAAGGTAGAAGACCCCTATTGATTTTGGGGTCACAAGGTCAAAGTCACTTTCATCTTAATACTGAAAACAGTTTCTAGAGCATAATTTAAGTTCTATTTGGCACGCAATATTCAAACTTCTTAGGATGATTGTCCATATAAGGTAGAAGACCCCTATTGATTTTGGGGTCACAAGGTCAAAGGTTAAGGTCATTATTAATAACTTAAGTATTAATCAACCTCCAGCTGTAAATTTTTATAGGATGTACAGCTAATTCTCATGTCTTACAAAATTTTAATGCTTCATCCTTACTATAAAAAAAAACACTTTCGGGTATATAATTGCTTCGTTAGCGGTGCTATTGTTGGTATTTCCAGAACTATTGAAGGGAATGTGTAGAATCTTCATATATTAGTTCTCAGTGATTATCTTAAAAAATGATTGATCCAAGTCCGATGATTGGCCCTATTTCCATTATTAGCCCAAGTCCCATAATTTTTATTTGTTTTTTTTGCAATTTTATGCCCCTTTTTCGACTGATATATTCTTGAAAACAAAACAGTTGTTTTGATTCTTTTGTTACAGATGAGTAAGAAACAGACACCAAGTGAATTTTTGAAAAAGATCATTGGAAGACCAGTTGTAGTGAAGCTTAACTCTGGTGTAGATTACAGAGGTATAATAAATATTTCAAAATGTCAAATGTGTCAATGTTTAACTCAAGATGATATGTCAGTCGCAACACTCAGACCCCTACCTCCAAGGTCAAGGTCACACTTTCAGGTCAAAGCTTAACATGGTCTGTTATAGGGTATGTTTTGTGTCCGGTATATAACTTTTTCATCACTCAAGGGATTTTGAAATAAGTTGACACAACTGTTTACAATAATAAGGCAACATGTCATGTGCAACACTCAGATCCCTACCTCAAAGGTCAAGATCACATTTAGAGGTCAAAGCCTAAAATGGTCTGTTACAAGGTACATTTGTGTGTATGATGCTAAATCAGGCCGATACATTGGTGAATTGCCCACATACCTTGATTGATGAAAAAGTTACGGTTAAAAAGTTACGAACTGGACATGAAATATACTCTGTAACAGACAATACCCTGCATTGATATTGTAATTTTCACATTTTGTGTCTTTAAAATAGTGATAACAACTATACAAATGGTTTTCTGTTGACATATATACAGGACTGAGGAGTTATTTCTTCATATTTTATATCTTTAATGGTTCGAATCCCGACAGGGACTTTGGATTCTTTCATGTGAGGAAGCTATCCAGCTAGCTTACGGAACGTGGGTGGTTCTACTCAGGTGCCCGTTGGTGCCTGAAATAATGCACAGAAGGGCACCTGAGGTCTTCCTGCACCAGTTAAAGCTGGAATGTCGCGATAGGACCTATACTGTGTCAATGTGACGTAAAACCCAAACAAGCAAATATCTTTAATAAAATTATTGCAGATCTATGTGTGCAGATCTAGCATTGATCAAATTTTGCACTGAAAGTCCTGATCCGTACCTCAATCTTTTGAAATAGCTCAATTTTGTGCTTAATGTAAAAGTTTCCTTGGAAGGGGGACGTTGGTAACTCTGTTACAAATTCTTGTTTATGCTGGATTCAGCAGCAAGAATTACAAAATAACAGTTTATAACACATTTTCCACTTTCAAAGTTAAACAATTTTCAGCTTGTCAAAACCTAATCAGTATATTAAAAACACTATTGCCAACAACAAATGGCTTGTTGTTTTCTTACTTCTATGACTATGATACAGTTGTTATCAGACACACATTTGGGTGACTTTCAAAGCAATATTATATATTCATTAATGATACTGCAATCCATACAATAAATTGACCATAATATTTGCAAGGTTTAACACATATTCATAATTACAGTGTATATGAGATGTTACTTTAATCTGAGAGACTAATATTGTAGTCTGATTTCAAGTAACTTAGGGAATATTAAAAATTTTGCTAATAACTCATAAATACATTAAATTTTATATTGTAATATATTTCAGGGGTGTTAGCATGTTTGGATGGTTATATGAATATTGCCCTTGAACAAACAGAAGAGTATGTAAATGGACAGCTTAAAAACAAATATGGAGATGCATTCATTAGAGGCAATAATGGTTGGTAATAGTATAGTTTTAAAATCCAAACTTGTTAACCTTTATTTGTTGCAATTTTCTTGTTTTAAAATGTATAAATGATAGTGTGGAAATGTTAAATGTCAAGTAAGGATTCACAGAGATTTGACACAATAATGTTGAAGTTATACATGTATGTGACGTATAGGGCAGTAGATATATTACTGTAAGTTAAGACAAACAAGAATAGAAATAAATAGACTGTTTGTTATATCATGTGAAAATAATAAAGTAAGCCCATACAATTATTATGGTGTGTAATTATTGTTATAACTTTCAGCAAATACTTTTTCACTCTTGCATTATTCTGTTAAACGATAAATACACTATTGTACCATGGTGTGAAGACAACCCCTATGTTTGTTTTATTCTCAGTTTATTTCATACTATTTATGTTCAACAGTTTCTCTTTTTTTTCAGTGCTTTACATTTCAACACAAAAGAGAAGAGGGTGACAGGGGAACTAGAAACTGAAGAAACTTTGACATAATAATTTACAATGAAGAGTATATAAAATAAAGAAAACAGTAATGAAGCTGCAGAATATGATAATCGATTAATTCTGGACCAGTGATAAAACACATTTACTGGATTATTTGCCTTCATTTCTTTTGATTTAGGCTAAAGTGAAAAATCTCTATGGATATTGTGTAAGTTTGAACTCTATTTTTGTGAGTGCATTGTAATATAAAGCATATTATGTTCTACTTGTAACACCTGCAAGTGTAGATTGAAGTTATTCTCATCAGATTGTAAACAAAAACTTACTATAATCACTGTTTTATAATTGCTCATTATTCAAGCATATGTACTGTTCATGACAGCTGTGATTTGTTATTCTACCATTTGAAGGTAATAATGTGTGCCACAAATAAGGAGCCAGGACAATCTATATATCCGTGTAGGCTGATCAAGCTCTATATAATACTGTAGGTCTTCTCTGTGTTATTAAGTAATAAGATTTTTGACAGGTTATATGGCTTTATATAAATGGTTGGTTTTTGTTATATTACAAAAAAAATATTTATATACCAGCAGTATAACCTATTGATAATCTTTATATTAATCACTTTATAATACAGCAAGCTTTGTTTATTTGAGAATAAATGCAAATACTTCATAAACTCATAAATTGACAGCAGCCATTTTTATAGTTTATATAAACATGAAAATAATCCAATGAATAAAGACGTTACATATTTGCAGTAATACGAGGGTTGTCCCAAAAGTCCGTGACAAATTTTATAGCATGTTCATTTTTAACGCCAATAGAAAATAATTCACACATATAACCATTAAGTTTATTATTTAACATTACAACAACACATTTACAAAAAATTTACCCTAGTTACTTAGAAATTTTCAGTATTAACGACATTAGGTTGAGTTGCCGGCGCACGTCAAATAATTTACATTTTGTTGTGAATAGGCTGAAATTAATAACGTATATTTAAAATATCTGGTGATGTGTCTGCACAATGTGACGTTGACTTCCTCTGCTGCTATGTTTACATCATCTCTGAAAATTTTAGTTAAATAACTTAAGAAACGAAAAAGATACGAATAAATGAAAATATCTCATATAAAATAGGAAAGTTAAAATGGCGACGTTCGAAGAATTTGCGGCGCAGTGAACATGTCACTCAGGTTTCATGACTATTTCGAGATGACACATGTTACGATTTTCAACAAATATACCAAATAGAACAGTTAAGCAACATATTCTGAGCATTTGTGTACAAAAGGCATGAACGGAACCAGAGTTTTGCGCTACAAAAAGCGAAAATAAGGAAAACACGGATAGGAAGACCGATCTTCGTCGCCTTTTTCCTACAGCTAAAAACAGGTGTAACGAGACCGGAAGTTCGCGTATATCAAAAATTAATGTATGCCATCCAAACATTCAACAGACATTAACAACCACATGATTTAAGTCAGAAATTGACGATTTATGGGTACCATTATTGTGTTGAAAGCCATTGAAAGTATTTGAGAAAGGCACCTTATATAGATTTAACGCCGTCTTTGACGTCGGACGTGCGCCGCGATTCAGTTAGTTGCCATGGTGTTTATGGCATATTTTTGTTGTTTGTTGATATTTATCTATGAAAATTTGTTAAAATGTTTAAATTATATGGGTTTATAACATATTAAAATATAAAATTCGTATCTGTTTTATTTAGCTTTTAAACAAATTTGTCACAGAATATTGGGACAACCCTCGTATAACAGTATCTTGATGCAGACTACTTATTGTGCCAGATTCATTGCAGTGGAAGTCCGTTATAAAAATTGAAGCAATGTAAAGGTTAAGAACTTAATATTACAGCTGTTTAACAATGATTCTTAACATATTCATGCATATATAATATTTGTTACAAGTTGAGCAAATGTTGAATATAAATCTGTCACTATTGAAACAAAATGTTTGAATGTCTTGTAGACTTGTAGTTAGTTGCATATCTCACTTTCATTGTCATCATCAATTTTATATCATTTCTGAATATTAAATTCTGAAAATTATGTATATTACTTCACTTATCATTTTATTGACCCTCGTCCTAGGCGAGATTAACATATTTTATACACCAGTTAAAATGAATATCTCACTTTTTAGCTCACCTGAGCAAAAGTGCTCAGAGATTAGCTTTTATGATACTATGATGTCTTATGTGCATAATTATCAACAACTTCTTTAAACAGGATCTCCTTTAACCACATGGTAGATTTTTACCAAACTTTACAGGAACATTTCATATGTTGCCCTTTTCAGTTATGTTATTGTTCGAGCTTGATCCATTAGTAGATAACAATAGCTAAAAATAGACATTATAATGAAATCTTAAAATAAAAATCATGTTCAGAAATTACAATGTACTAGAACTAGGGTATTTGACCTGCATGATTTTCTTGTAGATCTTTACAAAAGTTCTGTGAATTATATCTTTTGTGGTTAAAATGGCTAAGCCTTATAATGATCTGTGCTCTTATCACATTGACTGGTATAAAAATACAGTCTTCCAGACCTTTCAATGTCCAGATTTTGTTTGTTTGTTTTGGATTTTATGTTACATCGACACAATATAGGTCATATTGCGACGTTCCAGCTTTACTGGTGGAGGAAGACCTAGGTGCCCTTCCGTACATTATTTCAGGCACGAACGGGCACCTGAGTAGAACCACCAACGTTCCGTAAGCTAGCTGGATAGCTTCCTCACATGAAGGAATCCAAAGTCCCGGTCGGGATTCGAACCTACAGCGGTAAGGGGCAAGTGGCTCAATGTCCAGAGCTCAGATATTTGTCATATATGATTCCAATAAGAAAGGTGAGAAAGCAGCACATTAAGGACTCTGACCAATGAAAACCCTGAGATCTGAGACAGATATCAGATATAAGTTTTATAACCTTCTGGCCTAGTCTGATTTAAAGATGAACAGCAACTTTCTTTCTCCAATAAACTGGAAAAAACTGCTGAATAGTATAACAGCAGAGCAGACAAAATCTGATCTTGACTTACTTTTATCTAAAGCATTTCTTAACTTGTCCGAATGATATTTATATAGTAAATTACTGAAAATGTCCACTTGTCTGTACAGGCTGTGGGGCATTTATTACCTGGGCAATACCACAAGGAAACTTGATTTTGCCAACCCTGTGACAGTGTCAGTATTACATCCAAACTTAGCAAGGTGGAAGATCTTGTTGGAATCTTACAAAGGTGGAGCAATTTAATGTACCTGGATTGATCATTTATCATAATTATATCCACCACCTTCAAACAGGATAATCATTAAATATACATGATATATAACACATAACCAGTTAATATGTCTTGCTCATTTATTTTGATGTCTATTAAAAACAATCTCATTCATGTTATATTTGATAAAACAAAAAAGTTTAACAAAAACTTAAAACTACTCCATGATTTTCCCAGATCTAATTTGTGTCTGAGTAAATTTCATTTAGAACATGCTACACCAACTTGTAAATGACAAATATTTAAGTTTTTGCACAACAATAAAGCGGTTATCATAATTGCTCAACTTTTTCTTCCAAACAGATTAGCTTAAAATCATCAAGTTCACAGTGTCATAGTGCTAAAATATAATGCACAAATAAAAATAGTTTAAGAAATTGTAAAATTTACTAAATATTTGTGTTTAAGTTTACATTGTTTCAAGCAATTTACCAGATGATTCTAGTCTAATATTTTAATGTTAATTAATAAAAAAAAATTAAATTATAACTTATATAATTGTGTTCTGTCTACATATTCAACAACAAAAAAATGAAATAAGTTCTGTCAATACCATACCTAATTATACTCTCATGAAATATAGATTTTCTTTTCACCCAGTATCATTTGTTCATGTTATATAAGCAGTATATGTTGCAGAATATATTCAGGTATGCGATAAAGCAATTAAAACTACATGTATTAAAACACTTCTATTAAAAAACACACCTTTTCAATCTCGGCCCAACAGAATTTAAAGCTGTATTTTAAATTAAAATATATAGTATTACATGTATGCGGCTATAAAATTAATTGGAATAAATTATTCTACAAACATATACAAAAACATCAATAAAATTTGTCACTTTAGTGCAGTAATAGACTAACTGTCTCCTATATTTGGAACAATAGGAGTTAACCTTTTACTGCAATAGAGGTGATGGAATTAATATACATAAATTAATTAAAATATATATTATGTGTAAATGTTATATGCAACATGCCAGGTATAAATTTCTAATTAAAGTGACATTATGCTCATATTTTCATTGTCAAGTTTAGCTGAATTGACTTCATATTTCAAAAGATTGACTGTCAATATGGTGTTTGACCAACAGTTGATATTGGAAAATGTTTAGTATAAAATCATAAATCTGCCTAAAATATAGAAAGACTGCCCCACTCGTTTTATACACTAAGCGTTATAGGTAATTCTAATGGATATTTACATAAATTTCGTTTGGATCTGTGCGTTATCTATTGTTCTTGTGCACTTAATAATTAAATTAAAAGGAATTATGGCAAAATGAAAACTTATTTTGATCTTCACCCGTTCACTCACTATATACCCTTGGATGGACATAATGTCACTTTAAGCATTTAATTAACTAGCAGTATTACTAGTCTATGTGTATAATGCATATCTCCTGAATATATAATGAAAGCAGAAATGAATACCTCATATTTCTTAAGCAATAATTTTGGAACAATATTCTTTGAATATTTGAACAATTTCTGTTACAGAGTCGATCAAATTTTACAATAATAATATTACAATTCATCTTTTTTTTAAGATATCTTGCCTTTACAATTAAATAAACTTGAAACTACAGTGTCCTTTAAATTCAGTACTTTACATGTACACAGTGTTACATTCATATATCATAATAAACAGAAGAGGTCAAGTCCAGGATTTATGTTTAATCTTTTTCTAGAATAAATTTTACCTTGTTTACAATCTAAGGGAGGTAACAATGACAAGAAATTTAAAGTACAATGCTATAACTTCACCAGAAACATAAACTATTTCAAACTATTGTTGTATTGCAAATGATATGCTTAACAATCCTACCAAACGATAAATAATCTAAAACATGTTTATTAAAAGCAATCATATCTTATAACAAAGTATAATTATAATCTAACTAATTTATCACATTTTGCATCAAGTACTTCAACTTCATATCAAGACCTGTCTGCAGACAGCAGATTCCATTTTTCTCATTCGGAAAGGTGCCATTTTTCTGCAATTGTTCTTAGCGGACGTATCTCCCATTTTTGTGAACAAGTATTTTAAGAGTTTGAAGAGAATATCTTTGATGGTGTTTGACAAAAACAAAATATTTTAAGTGAAAAAGGAAAAATTGTTTTGTAAAAACAACTTTGAATTAAATACCTTTGATAAAAAGAAATTTACCAGGAAAAAAATTTCCAAGTTAAAAAGGAACATAACTTTATCATTTTTGCCCTTTTGTTTTGAAAGTGAACAAGTAAAAGTTTAAAGTGAGTAACTTTGATACTTTCTGGAGAAAAAAAATCTAAGTTAAAAAGGGGAATAACTCAAAGAATTATAAATACATTATATGGATTATCTACCCTGTTGAGATCATGTCACATTTTGGTAGTGAACAAGTATACCATGTTTGAACTGAATAGCTTTGATACTAAATTGATAGTTTCTGAGAACATTGACCTTAACAAACAAGAGGGCCATGATGGCCCTGAGGTCGCTCACCTGTATATAGGACCCCCACCCCCCACCCACAACGTTGCAGGGCCAATTTTAACCCAAGGGCTTTTATTTGCACAAACTTGGTAGACACCCATAAAAAGATGTTTCATGCTAAACATCTCAGCTCTAGCTCATTGGGCTTTTTAGAAGAAGATTTTTTTAAAGTTTTTACTATACACATTATAGTTAAAAACAATGACACCCCTGGGGCGGGGCCAATTTTGACCCCAGGGCTTTTATTTGAACAAACTTGGTAGACACCTATTAGAACATGTTTGATGCTCAATATCTTAGCCATAGCTCTTTGAGTTCTTTAAAAGAAGATTTTTTTAAGTTTTTACTATATGCATATAGGGAAAATCAATGACCCCCCTGGGGCGGGGCCAATTTTGACCCCAGGGCTTTCATTTGAACAAACTTGATAGACACCCATTAGAACATGTTTCATGCTAAATATCTTAGCTCTAGCTCTTTGGGTTCTTTAAAAGAAGACTTTTTAAGTTTTTACTATATGCATATAGGGAAAATCAATGACCCCCCGGGGCGGGGCCAATTTTGACCCCAGGGCTTTTATTTGAACAAACTTGGTAGACACTTATTAGAACATGTTTCATGCTAAATATCTTAGCTCTAACTCTTTGGGTTCTTTAAAAGAAGATTTTTTAAGTTTTTACTATATGCATATAGGGAAAATCAATGACCCCCTGGGGCGGGGCCAATTTTGACCCCAGGGCTTTTATTTGAACAAACTTGGTAGACACTTATTAGAACATGTTTCATGCTAAATATCTTAGCTCTAACTCTTTGGGTTCTTTAAAAGAAGATTTTTTAAGTTTTTACTATATGCATATAGGGAAAATCAATGACCCCCTGGGGCGGGGCCAATTTTGACCCCAGGGCTTTTATTTGAACAAACTTGGTAGACACCTATTAGAACATGTTTGATGCTCAATATCTTAGCCATAGCTCTTTGAGTTCTTTAAAAGAAGATTTTTTAAGTTTTTACTATATGCATATAGGGAAAATCAATGACCCCCAGGGGCGGGGCCAATTTTGACCCCAGGGCTTTTATTTGAACAAACTTGGTAGACACCCATTAGAACATGTTTGATGCTCAATATCTTAGCCATAGCTCTTTGAGTTCTTTAAAAGAAGATTTTTTAAGTTTTTACTATATGCATATAGGGAAAATCAATGACCCCCTGGGGCGGGGCCAATTTTGACCCCAGGGCTTTTATTTGAACAAACTTGGTAGACACTCACTAGAAGATGTTTCATGCCAAATATCTAAGCTCTAGCTTTTATGGTTTTTTAAAAGAAGATATTTAAAGTTTTTTCTTTCGGTTGCCATGGCAACCAGAGTTCTGCATGGAATTAAATTCTTTGAACAATTTTTAAAGGTGACCACCAAAGGAACATTCCTGTTAAGTTTGGATGAAATTGGCTTAGTGGTTTATGAGGAGATGTCATTTAAAGTAAAAGTTTACGGACGGACGACGGACGGACGGACGCCGGACGAAAAGCGATCACAAAAGCTCACCCTGTCACTTTGTGACAGGTGAGCTAAAAAGGTTAACCAATGCCTATAACATGTATAAGGGGGTCATGACATGGAATGACAGCATAGGAATCTCTCAGATAGTTATATATTTGAGAAGTTACTGGACTTTTATGATGGCACTATTTTAAGATTTGGGTTCCAGACAGTTGCCACAGCTACAACTGAGGATATAAGTCCAAAAATACCTTGTTTTGTTGCCGATAACTGCATGTACTTCAGTGTACATAATGGAATTGGTAAGTCAAAGAAATTTTTTACAGTATCTAGAACAAGAGGGATATTTTGTTGTGTTATTTCTAACATGGTCGCAGGTCTACGATTAAGAGACTGATAATTTGTGTCGCCATTCTTGTACCTGCTTGAAGACAGTTTCTTTCTTACAGTAAGCTCTTCTTGTATAACGCAGTAAATTCCATACAAGTCACGAATTGAGTTCAATAAGAGCGTAGCCAAATAGAACCTAGCTGAAATTTTTCCCCAGTACTCTCGGTCTACTTTTATGGCACCAACTGAGTTAAACCATAGGATATGATCAAAGAGGAGATAGAAAGCTTGGTTGATCTTTGACAGAGTTAAAGTCAATCTGAGGACTGTATCTTTTATATGGATACTCTTTAGAGCTCCTTGAAGAAAATCCAAACTCTTTCCAAATCGCAATACTGAAAATAAACACATGTATAACATTTTATATTTTCATACCTTCTAAGAGAAATAAAAACCAATAACTTAATTGCATCATCATACTTGCAAAATTATGGGGTCCTTATGAAAAACTGACCTGTTAAGTAATTTCAAATATGCAAGTTAAAGTCAGACAATGTCATATATTATGATATACTTCACTACTATACCAATAAAATAAAACACAGCATAAACAGAAAGTGAATATTCTCCTCTATCCACCACTTTACCCCTTGTAAGTGGGGAACCATAACCAGCAGTAACAAATGATTAGAGCAATAAGAGATGAGAAAAACTGGAGAAGGAAAAATATGGTCCACAGATAAATATTTAATAATATAAAGTTATGTGCTATTTAAAGTCTACAGTACTTGTTATTCTTAAAATACTGTCATTTACCCCATGCAAATGTTCTGTGACAAAAGAATTTTAAGTCAAACATAAGAATTAACTTTGTTGAATTTCTATTCTTAATAACTTTGCAACTTAATACTATCCTTTGTTTCAGGCATTTACATAATTAACTGAAAATAAAATTGAGCATAATTATCAAAATTAATCCTGGAACATGTACATATTCCAATAACTGTTCTAGAGCAAAGATTTATTGCTAATAATTCATAAATGATCAATTTTAGCATGTTATCTATGTATAAAAGTTTATACTAACATTTCCTGGTCATACTAAGCATTGACTCAACATTCTTGATTGTCTGTAGTAACTCCTTCTTATCTTTGTGTTGTAACCTTCCCCATGCTAGCCTACATCCATACTGGAACAACCTATAGAATATACCCAACAATAATAATATATTTACATGTACATACATATATTATAATCATGCAATTATTGCATGGGTAGACTACTGAGTTTCAGTACTTAAGTACACTCACTCTGCTAGAAGTCCTCCACAGCTTGGATTTGATACCAATACTTAAAATTTCTGAGTAATATATATGTTGCAGTCTTGAGTAGTTTTCAAGTAATTTTTGAGAGTACATGTATTTATAAGTGCTTGAACTTCTGGAATAAAAAATCAATTAATGAAAACTGCAAAAGAAAAGTTTGTCCAAGATTCGAACTTACAACTTAAAACCAAGCTCCCTAGTACTTACCACTAGGTCATCAGACAGTATTGACTTCTATTGATCAGTGTATCAAATTTCTGTACTATTCAGGCAGTATCTACATGTATTGATTAAAGTATCGAGATCAATATTACTATCATCAAATGGTAAAAAAAATAAATTAAGGAAACTTAGACGAAAAACCTTCTAAAAAATAATTAGTCTATAAATTTAGGTCAATAGATGTAAATCTGTTTTGACTCATACTTGAATAGAATCTGATGGGCATTCAAAACCGCAGGTCATTAAAAAAAAAATATAGCACAGCCATATTGACATTATATTATTAATTTGTTTTAAAGAAAAGATTTTAATTTTGATATTGTTTCAATTTAAAGTTTGCTACTGGGTAATATTCTGTCTGATACACTTTTAAGTTTTGAACTGTAGCTAATACTGCAGTATACCAGTTTACAGGGTCTTTAACAGCATGCATGGTTTCCTTTTGAATTAATGGTCAATAAAAATTATGGAAATGGCAAACAATTGACTGTACACAATTAATAACTAAAACAATACTGTGAAATACATGTACAAGTTGGTGCCCTTCCCCTTTTACCTGTTGATATGTATAAATAATTAAATGACAAACAGGTTGAATTTAGTTAATCATTAAAACAAAGTTGAAAAGTTATCAAGTATGCTCATGGTAAAATAAAAATCTAGATCTTGACCGGATTAAAATAAACTAGGTCACTTTCAAATAAAAGTTTATAAACTGTCATACCACCCTGATATGTAAGTTATAATGTATGACCTGACAGTTATCAATGTAAGCATTTGATAAAGTATGATAAGTTTTATATTTTGGACTGATTATCATAATTTCTTATCATATCTAATTGCAACAACACCTTTGTATAATTCACCTTACAGTAGTGTTTGAAATTATTTTTTGTCCAATATGATTGAAGTGTTACAAATGAATTGTGACACACTTAGTGCCACACCTGACCAATTCAATTTTGTAAAAACAATTGCTTTAACTTTACACTAATTCTGCGTTAATCACTTATTTCACGGTAATTGCATATTTTCATGTGACCAGTGTTTAAATTGGTGTGAATTAACATATTTTATTCAAACAGCTAAACAACAAAGTTTAATGTGTGCAGAATATTTCAAATCTCTAGATTTTTACGTAAAACAGAACAACATTTTACAAAATTCTGCAAAAAGCAACAATATAAGTCTGTTAAATTTGTGCATACGTCTGAACAATCAACATTTTCTTAAGGTTCTTGTTTGTTGAAAAAATATATTTTGACTTAAAAAAATTAAAGATAGTTTTGATATTTAAAATTATGCAAAACAAGAATTTGTAACAGAGTTACCAACGTCCCCCACCCCGGGAGTTTTATATGAAGCATAAAATTGTGCTATTTCAAAAGATTGAGGTACATATGTATGGATCTCAGGACATTCAGTCCAAAATTATGATCAATGCTAGATCTGCAAATGTAACAATAAATTTGTTAAAAAAATAAAATGAAACACGGAATTTAAAAATCTATCATGTTAAGCTTTGACCTCTAAGTGTGACCTTGACCTTGGAGGTAGGGGAGCAGGTGTTGTGCATGACATAACGTCTTATTATTGAGACTATTTGTGCCAAGTATTTTCAAAATCCCTTGAACTATGAAGAAGTTAGAGATTGGACACAAAATATACCCTATAACAGACTATGTAAATCTTTGACCTCTAAGTGTGACCTTGACCTTGGAGGTAGGGACACAGATGTTACGCATGACATATCATCTAATCATTGTGACTATTTGTGCCAAGTATTTTCAAAATCCCTTAATCTATGAAGAAGTAATGGATGGGACAAAAAATATACCAAATAACAGACTCTCTTAACCTTTGACCTCTAAGTGTGACCTTGACCTTAAGGGGTGTAGGTGTTGTACCTGACATATCAGCTTATTATTGTGACTATTTGTGCAAAGTTATTTCAAAATCCCTTGAACTATGAAGAAGTTCTAGATTCGACACAAAATATACCCTATAACAGACTATGTTAATTTTTGACCTCTAAGTAAGACCTTGACCTTGGAGGTAGGGACGCATGTGTAACGCATGACACATCCTCTTATTAAAGTGACTATTTGTGCAAAGTATTTTCAAAATCCTTTGATCTATGAAAAAGTTTTAGACCGGACAAAAAATATACCCTGTAACAGACTATGTAAGTATTTGACCTCCCAGTGTGACCTTGACCTTGGAGGTAGGTGACCGGTTTTTGCGCATGACACATCATCTGATTATTGTGAACAATTATGGCAAGTATTTACAAAATCCCTTCATAGATAAGAAAGTTATGGACCGGACACGACATATACCCTCAAATAGACAATGTTGACCTTGAATGAGCAAGTACGACCTTGACCCTGAAGGTACGGGTCTGGTTGTTGCGCATGACACATCGTCTTATTATAACAAACATTTGTGCCAAGTTATCTCATATTCCCTTGATAAATGACAAAGTTATGGACCGGACATGAAATATACCCTGTAACAGACTATGTAAGTATTTGACCTCCAAGTGTGACCTTGACCTTGAAGGTAGGTGACCGGTTTTTGCGCATGACACATCATCTGATTATTGTGAACAATTATGGCAAGTATTTACAAAATCCCTTCATAGATAAGAAAGTTATGGACCGGACACGACATATACCCTCAAATAGACAATGTTGACCTTGAATGAGCAAGTACGACCTTGACCCTGAAGGTACGGGTCTGGTTGTTGCGCATGACACATCGTCTTATTATAACAAACATTTGTGCCAAGTTATTTCAAGTTCCTTTCATAAATGACAAAGTTATGGACCGGACACGAAATATACCCTGTACAGACTATGTTAATATTTGACCTCCAAGTGTGACCTTGACCTTGAAGGTAGGTGACTGGTTTTTGCGCATGACACATCGTCTGATTATTGTGAACAATTATGGCAAGTATTTACAAAATCCCTTCATAGATAAGAAAGTTATGGACCGGACACGACATATACCCTCAAATAGGCAATGTTGACCTTGAATGAGCAAGTGTGACCTTGACCCTGGAGGTAGGGGTCTGGTTGTTGCGCATGACACATTGTCTTATTATAATAAACATTTGTGCCAAGTTATTTCAAATTCCTTTGATAAATGACAAAGTTATGGACCGGACACGAAAGTGTGACGGACGGAAGGACGGACGGACGGACAGACGGACGGAGCCTATTTCTATATCTTCCTTTTTTCTTCGAAAAGGCGGGGGACAATAACATGCAGAAATTTAAACTGAAACACGAAAAAACTGAAATTATACACCATTACTGTGATTTAAATGATGACAAACTGTTTTCAAAATGACCGACCTATGGTCTAGAGCTAAATGTCTGGCCCATTAAAACTGATTTTAACTGAATACGTTGTTGTTTCCTCAATGTGTCACACAGTAGATAATATTCTATATGTTACAGCTTATGACAGTTTTTGTACCATAAGTTTCATCATCCAATTATGATCCAAAAAAAATGCAAAACTTTAACCAGAAAATTTTCAAGCTACAAAAAGAACCAGAATTCTGTCAAAAGTATACTGGTGCCTCATATTTCCGTGGTACTTAACTGTTTAACAAAGACAATAAATTTAGTTAGAAGAATAAAATTCCGGAAAATACGTTGAATATTGTAGCAAAGACATGTCAGTTACATCATAGTTTATTCCATATAATGTTTGTATGTAAACTATTATGTGCACAACATGGCAATTAACACCTATCTGCTGCCTAGTGAGTAAAGTTGTGTTCTCATATTTCCGAGGCAATTAACATTTTAACTGTCTGAGCTTCAAAAGCAAAACCAATCTTTATTTTTTGGTTCATCTTTTCCTAGCGGAGTAGCCCTGTCTGAATGTGGATATTTTCTCTATGGCATTTATCAAATATCTCAATGGTTGTTTAACAAAGACAATTGTCTTAAAATTTAAGGTATGAAAACTAAAAGTAAATTAAAATAGTGAAATAATTTTCTTTGCTCTTAATCTGAATAAAATAATAAGTTTTCTCAGTTGTATATGTTACATTTTAATAAAAATAGAATAAGTAAGTGAAAGTTAAACTCCTGGCAGATGCATGAAGACTATGAGACACTAGAGACTGTTTATGCCTAACACCTTGCCCACCAGTGTAAGTGAAATATCTACTGTTAGTCTATCTAATAAACTTACCTGCATACTTTATCCCTCCCATTTGTTTGGGCATTGAATTTTATAATACTTGACAAAATATCTGTCGACATAATTCTATATATTTTAGATAAATATTATAAACTGTCTTGTCTGGTCAACATGACAGCACGTCTGAGGTCAGTATTTAGATCGAGCACCTGTTACATTCGAATTGACAACCAGCTTCGGATTTCTTCGTTATAAATTTTATTTGATCGAATTATTCCGAATATTTTGTTTGCGTTTCCGGTGTCATGGTGGACATAGAGACAGTTTATTCATTTTTCTCCTTTATTGCACATATTTAAGAATACCGTCAAAGAGTCCAAGTGTAAATTTCTACTGTTATTAATAGGAAAATTTCCTCATAAGATATACAAACATGCCTGTTTACATCCGTAAGAATGTGAGTTACACACCACCTTCCCTTGATAAATTACCACAGGAATCTGAAGATGATTATGTTAACGATCCAGAGTTACTCAAAGACATCCTTCCACAACCATATCGCATGATTGATAAAACTCTTAGAGAATTGATAGATGATTCATGGGAAGTAATTGCTGAGCGCGAGAAACGGAGATTAGAAGAAGCAAGTAAAGTGAGGCCACCACAGTATGAAAGTTCAGTTGAACTTGAGGCAGTTATTCCAGCAACTCAGTATCCAGAAAAACAGGTTTATATCTTTGACACTCCATAAGCAATGACTATTGAAAAGCATTTTGAAGGTTAAACTATGAAAGGATTTAATTCTGTTTACTTTTTGCTTGTGCCAGTCGTTTCAGTACTGTAGCATGCTTTTCGTGGAATGGTATTTCGATCTTGATCTGTATACGGTGTGACATCATAGACATTGTTTACACCGGCCTTTGCAATTATCAAGCGGCTTAGGGCAACATGATACCCTCTCTAATGATTTTTGCGAATGAACTGGATGTGTCCTTAAGGGTGTTTTCATTATTATTTAAAATGTCTGGAGGTAAAGAGTTCCATTCTTTCACAGTATTTGGGAAAAAAGTATACTTCAACACATCAGTACTTGACTGGATACGAAGGAAATGTTGACTATGTTGGTTCTTGGTAGATCTTTTACTACGTTGTAAAATGTTTATATTTATATGTGCTTGTTTGTTTACACCTTTATTCATTTATATGAGTCTATTTTGTTGTCTTCGAACCATAAGGGATGGTAAATTTAGTTGTTTCAGAAGTGTTGTCATAGTACCAGGTTCATAGTTATAATTTGATGTTATAAAACTAACTGCTCTCTCTTGTTGAACACTTTCTAATTTTTCTTGTAGATAAAGTTGATGCAGATCCCAAGCTGCACTACAAGTTCCTAAAACTGGTCTAATATTAGTCCTTTACATGCTTGTAATTTTACTTCTAGCGGGCAAGTTGATAGATTTCCTTTCAAAAGTCCAAGAGTTTTGTATGCTTAAAAATTGTTACAGATTGCTTCCACAGGTTTTCCCCAGTGTAAATTACTTGTTATATGGACACCAAGACAGCGATTTTTTTCCCCTGAATTGTGAATGGGTCTGGTACCATAAAAATTGTGAAAAAAAAGCATCGTTTCTTAACAAATTGTGAATTTTTTACTTAAGATTGTGAATATCTTATTTTAAGCAGTTAAAGAACATATAATTTTTTTAATGTAGTATTTACTGTTACGAGACATTTTGAATGATGTTTACAGAAATTACCAGACGCTTGGAGAAAAGAAGTCCGTCTTACTGCATCAAAGTTTATGTTTTTAAATTTATTTCTTACATTTATAACTTTATAAGTGTCATTCAGTATTTTCCATTATAAAAGTAACAAATACTCTTTATAAATACTTGTAAGTGTTTGAATGTTGCATTACAGAAATTTGAATTTTGCATTACAGAAATTTTGCTATTCAACATGCATGACTAACTCCCCAGATGGACAATATATATTTGTTGGACTTCCCTGTGGTTTGGTTGTAACTGAGGCTGCTACCCAACAGACTATCAGCAGCTGGGAGGCAGAAAATGCTGAAATGTCATACATTAAATCCTACACATTGGCACCTCAGGTTTACATGATAACTACCATAGATGACATGGGTATGTATAAACCAGAATTGCTGTAGGAGGTGATTACAACATTACTTTTTCACAACTAATACGGGGAAGTCTAAAGTCCGGGCCTGCAGGGCTTTGGCTTGCCCGGCTATAGACTACATGTGTATATTATTTTATGTTTGAAGCATCATCAGAATTTTCATTATCAATTTCAAGATGAAGTTCTCTAACTTTATTGCTGTAATACAAGCTAATAATTTTGGACTAATAAAATCAAGAAAATCAAGGTTGTTTAAAATTGTAACTGATGCTAGTGTTTGAACTAAAATATTGAATGCTATATTAGATTGCCTTTCCCACTGTAGTGATACTATTCTTATCTGGGCACTTTGGTTAAAGTTTTTGCGTGCAATTTTACATAATTTTATATATAATATAATATCTCATCAATTGCTAAAGATATATGATTGTATGTATTTGAAACTAATATATGTCTTAAAGATTGCAATAAGAGGTCCTAATATAACACTAGCATTGATTTTGATTGAATTATGACCCTATGTGAACTTGGACATTCCAGGTTAAAGTTTGCAAGTCTTCCGTATTATATTATATAATTGAAAATCACTATCCAAGGCTCACAAGTCTGCATAGAATTTGTCTTATTAATGGCCCTCTCTGAATTCCTGGTTTAAGTTTTGCTTGCAACATTAACATTTATAATTACTGATGGTATTCACATGAAACCTCAATCTTTTCTTTAAGATTATTATTAAAGGTTAGCTAATTTTCAAAGACCCCTAGCTCTGGTGTACATTTTGAATGAAGTCATCATGGCCCTTAAGGAAATTGCAAAATACTTTTGTAACAATGTAACTATCTAAGACTCATAACTTATGGCTTAATATTTCTTAAATGAAATCCTTCTCTTTGTTAATTCTACATTATTTGTGCTTTTGTTTGACTATCAAGCACTGAGAATAATCTAGTCTGCTGTCCACTGACAAGGTACCTCTTGTTTTAGTTAATATCTGAGATTGTTTATATTTTCAGGGGTAGGAAGACTGTTTGCATTTTCCCAAAGTGCTAACAAGTTATTCTTGGTCAAAGTTCTAAATTCTCAGGTAAGAAAATGTTAAGTATTGCAATTGAAAAAAAATCTGTCTGCCATTTTTAAATTCACACATAGTCTGTTGTATTATTTCGCCCTCTTCATCTGGCATTACAGAAAAAATGTAAGGAAAAATATTTACAAAATATAGTAAAAGTACTTTTTATAAGAGTTTAAAATGCTTGTTACATTTTGAATATGAATCTTTGTTATGACTATCTTTATCTAGGAATCTGACAACAAGCTACTGGTCAGTAAAATAGAGGCATCAACAGATGGGGACTATATGGGCGTGGTCATGGAAAGTAAGAACTTTAATTTGATTTCTTTACAGTTCAATGTTTTGGGAGCTTTTGAATTTATATAGTGTGGAGTAAGCTGTTACAGTAAAATTACAAAATTTCACAAGAAGCGCATTGGTTCAAATCCCCTATGGATCAATTTATTTTTGTATTTCTCTTTTTCTTATACATGTATATAGATCTATTATGTTTTTTCATTAGGCCGAGTGGTTAAGGTCTTTGACTTCGAACCACTTTCTCCTCACAGCTGTTGTTTCAAATCTCGACAGGGACTTTGGATTCTTTCATGTGAGGAAGCTATCCAGATAGCTTAGGGAACTTCTGTGATTCTACTCAGGTGCCTGTTTGTGCCTTAAATAATGTTCCTGTATAGCTGGAAAGTCGCCATATGACCTATTCTATGTTGGTGCGACGTTAAAGGCAACCCCACCCTCCAAAAAAAAATTAATATAATGGATAATAATACTCATCTGTTTGCAACACTTTCTAATTTCCTGGGATTTAGACTGAATTTTCTTAAATATTGTCATTTATTGCCCTGGCACATTTTGTTAGGGTTTCATGAATTGATTAAATTATTGTTTGGGAATTTAGTGCCATTTTTAGCTCGACTTTTCTATGAAAAGGGGAGCTATCCTACTCGCCCCGGCGTCGGCGTCGGCGTTAGCGTTGGCGTCACACCTTGGTTAAGTTTTTCGTACCACCCCACTTTATTTCAGAAGTATTACAAGTATGGCTTTGAAACTTACCATACTTGTTCACCATCATAACCTCCATCTACAGACAAGAGTACATAACTCTGTCAAGGTTTTTGACAGAATTAGGGCCCTTTTTTGACTTAGAAAGTGTATTGAGCTTGGTTAAGTTTTTTGTACCACCTCACTTTATTTCAAAACCATTGGAGGTATTGCTTTGAAACTGACCATACTTGTTTACCATCACGACCTTCATCAACAGACAAGAGGACATAACTCTGTCAAGGTTTTTGACAGAATTATGCCCCTTTTTGACTTAGAAAATACATTGAATATGGGTAAAATCCACTTATTGCCTTAACCCTTTGAGATATTGCTTTGAAACTTTTAATGCTATTTCACATCATTACCCCATCTGTACGCAAGAGAAGGTAACTCTGTCAAGGATTTGTTTTAAAAATTAAGGCCTTTTATCGACTTAGAATCTTGGTTAAGTTTTTAGTACCAGTCCACTTTTTGACTGAACTGTTTGAGATATTAATTTGAAAGTTGGAATACTTGTTTACCATCATGGTCCCAAAACATGGGCAGGAGAAGGTAATTCTGTTAAGGATTTTATTTGAATTATGGCCCTTTTTGACTTAGAAACTCAGTTAAGATTTTCATTCTTGTCCACTTGTTGACTTAACCATTTGAGATATTACTTTGGAAGTTGGAGTTCTTATGTGCCATCATGAGACCTATCTGTAAGCAAGAGAAGATAACTCTGTGAAAATGTTTCTTGATTTGTACTTAGAAATTCCTAGTTAAAGTCTTGTGTGCCCTTAACTGTCAAAGTTTTGTTTTATAGGCAAGCACTAAAAAAGTCGAGCGCGCTGTCCTTCTGACAGCTCTTGTTGTTGCCTCCTGTTTGTATTGAAAGTAATAGGGAAATATTCTTCTGTATTTATATTTTTAAAGGAATTTACCTATTATTTAATATAGGAAACCTAATTCTGTTTGATTCAGATCCTTTGTTTATACATAGATCCATCAAGTCATGACATGTGGTTAGAAGTTCACAAGTTGCCAAAAGATACATGGGTCAGTGACCTTGAAACAATAACAGCAGCTATTAAAAAGAAAGAAGACAAGGAGAAGAAAGAGGAGGCCATGTCAGAGGTGAAAATATCACTGTTATATGAAATATCACATTTATATGAAATATCACATTTATATGAAATATCACAATTATATGAAATATAACAATTATATGAAATATCACATTTATATGAAATATCACAATTATATGAAATATAACAATTATATGAAATATCACAGTTATATGAAATGTCACAGTTATATGAAATATCACAGTTATATGAAATATCACATTTATATGAAATATCACAATTATATGAAATATAACAATTATATGATATGTCACAGTTATATGAAATGTCACAGTTATATGAAATGTCACAGTTATATGAACTATCACTTAGAGCAGAAACAGGTTAACTCCTATTAAATTATATAAGGAGTGACTGCACTAAGGTGACAAATTATATGAACTATTATTCTTTGACTTTGAAATTATGAATGAGTATGTATTGAAATTAATAAATGAGTATATTTCTATGAAACTATCCACTTTGGTATCAAGATATTAATATTTATAATGAGTTATATAGAGGATATTTGTTTAGTTGAGTGTAAGATCGTAATATATTTCACCGAGTGAGCACCAAAAGGTATATTTCACGAGTGGCGCAGCCACGAGTGAAATATGAACTTTTGGTGTTCACAAGGTGAAATATATTACAATCTTACACTAAACTAAACAAATTTTCTTTTTATTACATGCAAAGAAACGTTTTAAAAAGACATTTAACCTAATACTGAATGAAAAGCGCACCAAATAATAATACAACGTGACGTCATTTACGACGTCACGTCATTAAGTTGGTACCCAGTACTGTGCACGCTGGTATTTTACTGAAACAACGTAAGGGGCTTAAATTCAAAACAGTGAAATTATCAAAGTGGTAATTTCACTGCTTCAAACAGTGAAATTACCAGTTTTATATCACTGATATATTTCTTTAAACCACCGAAAAGCATGTAATAAATACAGTTCAAAAGTGTAGTAGTCAATTATCCTACCTCTTCAGTGTGGGCATTATCTTTAACTGTGATTCTGTTTCTGTTTACTATGGTATTATTTATTTGATTTTTCATTTATGTGTATGTGAACTATGTCTTGCCTCTTTGTTTGAAGAAAAATTATCATGTGCCATTAGGAAAACATTGAATTTCATGTTTCATTTTTCCCGATTTATTTGCAACTTAATGTTAACAAAATTGAAATGATTGATAGGCACTATTGAGTTGAACAGATTTGGTTTTCTAATGGTTTCATTTTAATGTCTGTTGCTAAATGTGACTAAAATATTTGGTTAAAGAAATGTGTAGATTTTATGTATTAATTTTAATGTAATAATGTACCATTTATATAATTCAAACAGTAATATCATACCCATTTTAAATGTTGTTTTTGTTGTTATCACACTTGGAATTTTACATGGTGTACACAAATACATGTTTATCTCTGTATACCTCATTAACAAAATCATCAAACACTTTCATCCCACAAAAAAAAACGAAGAAATTTAGCAGACAAGAATAATGAAATTTGTGATTTTACTACAAATTAGATGGATGCGGAATCTGTTGCCCCTAGTGATGTGGCCCCCAGCAAAGCTGATACAGATGAACCAAGTGTTATATCTGTGGCTAACTCCGTGGCTCCTCTAGATACTGCTGAACAGTCTCAGGTAATTATGTTTCTATAATAACATACTTTTATCAAAGTTATAAGATTGTTTTCAATAACAGATTGATTTTATTTTGTTTATGGCAATTGATCTTTGCTTTTATAATTCTTGATTTGATTGATACTTAATTGAAGAGAATCTGTAATGTAGATTAGCCAGTAATAAGTGGATTCTAATCCATTCTGTAAGAAGGCTGAAAAATATGTTTAGAGAGTTTCCAAATTACTCATTATTTAGAGATTGAGATTAATGTATTAAAATGTTTCTAGCTAAAGGTATGGTGATCACATAGAGGTGAGAGGGTTAAAAAGTCATATTATGCAAGCTGCAAGTCTCTGGCAATATTATTTTATTTTACATCAAGTTCAATATGTTTAGTAATGAACCTACATGAACATATTCTATATGTTACCCTTATTTTTAATCATAATAAGTTGAAAATAAATGTTTTTATCAATATCTTGAACATTCTCAGTCACAAGGTTATTCATTCTATTGAGAAGTGAAGTGCATAACAGCCACAACACTAATTTAATTTTATTAAGTTACTGCCTGTAACAGGTGGCATTGTGGTTGTATCATTTTATGTGTTAAGTTTATTGATGGATTGTTCACCTCTTCAGAAGTGTATATACTGCTATATAATAAAGAATTTGCTTTATTTGAAGTTACATATTTCATTTAACAAATTTTACATAACATTAAAGTTGATTTTCTTCTGTTGAGTAATAACAGAGTAATTACACGGCAGTTGAGTAACATACTGAATTAAACTTTGCCTTGTTTGATAGAAAATTTCTGAACCTACTCGATCCAAAGTGACTTTTGCTCAGCCCGAAAGACAGTCTCTTGTTAAAACGGTAAAATAGCTAGAATGTAGGCAGGTTTTTATTGTTGTCAGCCAGCATTAAGGTGGATTTACTATATTTGTAGAATATATTGTTTTAAGATATTCATTAATTGGCCAGCTTTTATTTGATTAACATTTTTACTGTAAAGTAGTCTTTTAAGATGACATTTGAGATGCGTCATGACAAAACCAACATAGTGTGTATGCTACCAGCATGGATCCAGACCAGCCTGCGCATCTGCGCAGTCTGATCAGGATCCATGCTGTTCGCTTACCAACTCTTTTACAAGTAGAGAAACTGATAGCGAACAGCATGGATCCTGATCAGACTGCGCTGATGCGCAGGCTGGTCCCGATCCATGCTGTTCGTAAACGCACTTGTAACGTTGGTTTTGTCATGGTGTGGCTCATTTAATGTAGCATGCCAGCTTTAACATTGAATAATTTGACTACCTTAGTGTAAAAACGATCACCTAAATAGCAAAAGGGTTGACTAGTTTAAACATAGAATGCATTTAGGTTGTTGAACTTTATTGTATTGCTGGCCAGCTTTTATAAGTACATGTAGTTGTTATTTTTCCATCTATTATTTTACGACTAAGCGTAGTCTTTATCCTAGACAATAGTAAGTTTCTATTGATAATTTAACGGCAAACAATAGGTTTTATTATTTTAGTTTTAACATTTTATATTTATAGCATAGTGATATAACTTTATACAATACTGTATTAATAATTATCAATTCAAACAGAGTCTAGCGTCATCTATGAATTCTGCCAAGTCTGTCAAGTTCAATGCATTTGTAAGAAATTCTCAAATGCAAAATTCTCGCAAGAAAGTAAGAAACTGCACGTTTGGCTGGTAAAATTGGCAGGCTATTAAGTGAATGAAATGCACATGGGCTTCTTGCATGGCTGGGTTTGCATAATTAGGATGCAATTTCAAAGCATAAAAGCATTGTTTAAAAAATCGCTGTTGGTTCATTTATTTGCCAGGTTTATATAGTATATTATGATAGTGTTTGGTTGATATTTTGGTGTTTGTTGCATAAACATAAATTCAATGGTGATATTTATTTTAGGTCAAGCTTGTTTATAAATAGAATGGTTTATGGAACACCCCCTACTGCATGATGCTGCAATATTTTATTTTATTAAAAAAAATCATTTTGTACAAAATGTACAGATTAGTTTGTTAATTTTCATGAAAAAGATGTTTTAATTAGTATAATTATTGTCAAATTTACAAATAAATGATTACATCCCAAGGCACTCTTTTAGAAATAGTGTAGAAATTCATGAAAAAGAAAGTAAATTCTGTAATTTTTTTGCGAAATACATTCAAAGTTTTACATGGATTGTAAGTTTGATGTTTTGAAGATTTATATCTTTCATCTTGAGGCATGAGCTGCTTTAAATCTTTAAAATATTCTGTCATGTTAATTTTTTTTGTAATATATTACCCCTCAAAAATTTTTTAATGTTAATTTCCCATAGGCCAATGGGAGTTATTTTTACTGTTAATTCAAGTGTACCATGTGACTAAAAATTATGTAACAGTACTTTTTCACACTAAAAAGCTGAAAAATAAAAGCTTATAGAAACAGTGTCGCTTTGAAGTATTTGTTCTGGGTAATAAAATAAATAGCACACAGGTTTGTGAATAATGTGAATATTATCATCCCTTGTAAAAATACTATTTTACAGTGACTTGCAATCCTATGTGTTACTTATATAACGTATGACAATTTTTGTCTAGTTTGTTAAAGAAACTGCCATGTAAAGATCACGTGATATTAAATGGTATAATTGTATGTGTTACTATAATTATATAGGTGATAGAATCAGCATTGCTGCCCTTAAAAAAGCAACATGGTGGCCGGAAACGCAAGAAAGCATTCAATGTATCTGTGTTAAATATATGATTTATTATGTGTATAAAAATGAGAAATTATCAAAGAACTGGGGTTTAAAAGTTATAAATAATTAATTTTTATAATCTTTTCCCAACTAGGTAACAGTATTGTTCATGCCTAAATCATTAAGTGACTGATAGATATTTGCGTTATCAAATTAGTTTTCCCTTACACATATTTTGGTTACAGGACAGCCATTTTTCATCATGAGGACTTCTATAACTCAGCAACCATTTAAGAATTTCCATTTGTGGTAATTTGATAACTTTAATAAAATAAAAATTTGGTCTTCTGTATTATTCAGGCATTTTTTACTCCTTCAAAATACCCTATTAAGTACAAGCTGTACATATTATCTCTAAGATGGATGTCTTTAACATTGAAGCCTCAGTCCTAGAACATATGAACACTTTATGGCAGTCTAGTTTCACGTCAGTTTTGGTATAAAGACCACTCAAAACTACAATGAGCTCAAAATGGTCCATGGACACACCATGTTTGAAAAATTCTGTGATTATTTTCATTGAAAATATAATACTTGATAATTTCTCATTACTATGTATCATTATGGATTTTTTAATATAAAAAAGCTTGTTTCTCTTGCAGAGAGAGTATCTTCAATATATTTTATGCTAAACTTATGACTACATGTAATTGCTGTGAACTTAAGTATATTGTACTCAAAACTCTTGACTATGCTGGTACTTTCTTTAACTTGAATTTGAAGACTATTCTGTGCTAAACCTTGACCAAGCTATGATATGTATGATAATGTACCTGTATATGTGTTCATTTACTGTACAAAAATAAAGCCTTATGTTTAAAATCTTGTGAAGTAACTTTTTTGCAGTGTAATTTTATACCAGCTTCTGCTTATTTTCTTGTCTTCAAATATTTATCAATTATTACCAGCAATGGTCATGTCAATATCCAGTTTTTTTGTCAGCTCAGTTTTTGTCTGATTTTATTAAACAGTCAATTGCATACTTACTCTATGGTCAGAGAATAGAATACATAAATTTTCAAAAGGTTTTCACATGTGTTTGTTACACATAGAGAGACTAAATCAGCAGTTAAACAAGTATATGATACAAAATATCTTATTTAGCATAATGGTCATTTTGTGAGTTTGAATTTAACCAATTTTCAGATTATGGCATGTTAGGTCCCTCGTTGTTTTTTCCGTCCTTTCACATACTTTTGAGGGCCCACTGACAAGTATTACATTGTAGTAATTGTATTTTTGACATTTAGGACAAACTTCTTTGTTATTGTCATTTAAATGAATCCAATCCATCCTTTGAATTTTTACAATTGCATTTACAAACAGCATGGTTTAATGGTAATAATTATGTATTTAGAGCTAAATCTGGCTTGTATTGATCTGTGAATTTCTATTTACCAATTATTTTTTTCTATATAATATTATTAAGATATGGAAAGATTGTAAAAAAATAATAAAACAAAATGTAATCTGCCAGGTGGACTCAAACTGATGATCTCTGTAACGCCAACACCTTATCTCCAGTCAGCTACTATCGATTTTAGCTTTTGTTAAGCTCATTATAGAACTATTTAAAAAATATTCAAAATTTATTTTTGAAAAGTATATTGATATTAATAGATGTTAGGTTGAATATTTAAAGGCAGGTTATAATGTATGCATAATTGACTTGCCAATAAAATCAAACAATACTGCAGACATTTTCACAAAAAATCTTACGACAATCTTTTGTCGTAAGAGAAATCTTACGATAAATTTCCTTTTCACAAAAAATCTTAAGAAAATCTTAAGTGCAAAATCTGTCGTAACTTTACGATAGGTCTTCCCCGTTGGTAAGTGTAATTTTTTCTCTCTTAAGGGTAAAATATCATGTATGTCTTACCTAAACTGCATAAAAACAAACAAAAAGTTGGAGGACAAATAAATATTAAGCAAACAGTATGCTACAAATAACACAAATTGAGGTATAATTATTTTTCAACATAAACATTTGTGACGTCATGACTTGATGACGTCACGATGGAGAGGGTTATGAATAGTTTAAATGTGAACTATACTGTATTATTGAAAACTTATAATTTGTACAATTGGTGAGTTTGATTTAATTGCCAGCATGTACAAGTGGTACTTTTTTATTTATTTATAACATAGTAGACCTTTTTCTGAATCTTTTAGATATATAATTATTTCAATCAAGATATAAATTATATCAGTTTGAACCATTTTTTGTTCTTATTGAAATTTGATTGTGTACAATAGATATTCAAGCTCTTGATTACTTGATTTTAAAACCGGAATCAAATATAGAGCATGCACATCACTATCAAATGAACGTTGCTAGGGATGTTTTTGTCGTAAGATTTATCGTAAGTGATTTTTGTGCCCCCACGTTAGTGGCGGGCATTTAGATTTACCCTTGTCCGTCCGTCCGTCCGTCCGTTCACTTTTGTGTCGCATGTAACTCAAAAAATATTTGACCTAGAGTCATGAAACTTTACAGGAATGTTGATCAGCATGTGTAGTTGTGCACCTGGGTATTTTCGTCTGGACATTTTTAGTATTTTCAGAGTTATTGCCCTTGACATAGTAAAATTTTGCAATTTTCAACTTGTGTCGCATGTAACTCAAAAAGTATTTGACCTAGAGTCATGAAACTTTACAGGAATGTTGATCAGCATGTGTTGTTGTGCACCTGGGTATTTTCGTCTGGATATTTTTAGTATTTTTAGAGTTATTGCCCTTGACTTAGTAAAATTTTGCAATTTTCAACTTGTGTCGCATGTAACTCAAAAAGTATTTGACCTAGAGTCATGAAACTTTACAGGAATGTTGATCAGCATGTGTAGTTGTGCACCTGGGTATTTTCGTCTGGATATTTTTAGTATTTTCAGAGTTATTGCCCTTGACTTAGTAAAATTTTGCAATTTTCAACATGTGTTGCATGTAACTCAAAAAGTATTTGACTTAGAGTCATGTAACTTTACAGGAATATTGATCAGTATGTGCAGTTGTGCACCAGGTATTTTGTCTGGATTTATTCAGTATTTTTAGAGTTATAGCCCTTCACTTAGAAATTTTTTGCAATTTTCAACTTGTGTCACAAGTTACTCAAAAAGGATTTGACATAGTCATTAAACCTTATGGGCAGGTTGCTCAGCAATTTAGATTTGCACCGGGGTTTAGCTTGTGGATTTATCCAGTATTTGTAGAGTTATTTCCCTTGACTTAGTAAAAAGATTGACAGAACAGTGGCGCGGTGGGGGCACCCGTGTCCTATGGACACATTTCTAGTTTTATCTTAAGATAAAATTTTTACTTACGAGTGGCTTTGTGAAAATGACTTAAGATTTAACTTACGATTATCGTAAGTCAAAAACTTAAGATAAATCTTAAGATTTTTTGTGAAAATGTCTGCTGACCTTTAAGTGATAGGTTGTAAATTTTAATTTACACATGTATGAATTTTAAAAGTGTTTGGTGTTAATTACCTAATTATTAAATTCTCTAAAATACACATGTATATACTTTTAATATAAATGTATTTCTGTACATACATGTAGTCCAGACCAGCCAGTGGAAAGTCCTTGCAGGGTTCTGAGTCCAATAACTTGGGCACAGATCCCACAATGTTGAATTTAGATACACCAAGAGTAAGTCATGATGTCATAACATACATGTATTTCCCTAACCTTTCACATTCAATTTTAAACAGGTACCCAAATAATGTCTGTTCTATTTTCTGTTTAATCAAATTAGAATTGTCCTTAACTTCACAGAAATGTATTTAACCACAGTAATTTTGGTTGAATGGGGTTTATCTTCTATTTACTAAAGTAGTGTTTTCTTCTATATTGATATGATACACATACGATCTATCACTGTTGATATCACAATACAATAGTTCTAACTAGAGTTGTCTCCCTTACACCAATGAGACATTTAATGTGGACTTGCCATTTACTAATTGGTATATAATTGAGTTCTTTTAAGTATATTAACTTTGATATCTAAAGTCTGTTTTACACCAAAATCTTTCATTTTGTCATGTAACTATACTAATCAAAAATATTATACAATGCAGTTTTTAAATTAAACAAAAGTCAAGCTGTCTACAAGAAAATAAATTAAAAAAAGAAATGGACTCCATTTCATTTGTTGTTCTTTCATTAACTGACAGGATGCAGCTATAAAATTTTCAGTTGACAATGCACATCTGTCCGCAAGCATCCAATGCTAGTAAAGTATAGTCTGAAAGATAAAGCAGGATTATCATTAGTGAGGTAGCTAGCATAATACTGGCAGTAAGCAATCAGCAACAGTTCATAAACAATTACCTGACAGCAATTGCTTACAAACAATACTAGAAAGCAATTTGAATTTAGCAATCAGTGAATGGCAGTAATTATTGGCATTTAGCAGGCATTTCCCTTTAGGTAAAATTATTCCATAGTTTAATATGATAATTATCAACCTTTGAATATTTTTCCTGATAGATGAATTTGTAATTCTGTATCAAACAAGATAGAGTTATAAACCTGTGATTTATATAAATTTCTTGTTTTTCAATCAACACTTATTTTAAGAATCATTAGTTTTCCCATTAGTATAATGCATTAGCCAAGCTTGGAATTTGAACAGTACATTCAAAGTTTAAGGGGTTTCAGTATGGAAATACAATTATTGAGGTACTTTCAGTATAAACCCTAGTCAGTCTCATTTCACAGAGGCGCAGACTGAGCCTTGCTCCATACTGTTGGCAAAACATAATTTTGACAATCAGTTCCAGCAGTTCACTGCAGTCAATTGCAAGGGAAATTAAGATTTAACCTTCTGTCTGTCTACAGACTCGGTTCAGGTTCACTACCATGGTCTAGTTTTTTGCTGTCAAAAATTACCATCAGATATGTTTAACCAGCATTGCAGGGCATTTTGCTGAAACTTTATTATTTTACACACTTCCAGTTTGGGCCATGCTTTACAAAGTCCTACAATCCCCTGGGATGGGGGTAGCAGGGTGGAGTGGGGTGGTAGCAGGGGTTACAATTAATTGGTGTATTATAATATAGCTATCATTTGTCTGAGAATCATACTTTAAATTATTAAAATGCTCTGTCATAGCACCAACAGTCACACATCAGTTATGATTGGTTGTATTTACCTCACGTGTCATTTGGTTTGTTACCTCACAGCACACTTAAACACAGCAAGTAACTGACTATTTGAAGTGTTCCACATTGAACCATATATGTAAAAAAGTTTTGTATTTGTGTCATGCAGTCTATGTGATTTTTTGTGATTTTTCTTTTCAAATGCATAACCATTATTGTTATTTGAGAGAGAAAAAAGTTTTTGCATACTTCAATGTCAAAATTTATACACGTTTTTTTATTTTGTTTTTTATAATATTATTATTTTTATTTATTTTTTTGATAACGTGATTTTCTTGATATTTTTAGGTTGCTAAAGATATTGATATTTGATAGTGACAAAAAACTTATCTCTGAATTCTTAGAGATGATCAATTATAATGAATGATGTCAGTAATCAATCTATTACTAGTTCATTATGTTTTCTTACTCTAGCTGTTAAAGTACAATGATATTATAATCAATTATTTTGTAGATCTAACATTTAGACTATAAATGATACAATAGTAACATTCTAAAATTCAGTAGGATATTACATCAATATTGGGAGTAGACCCTTAAAATGTGATAGCATTATTCTTTTATTGTAGGGTATTCTTATACTAATATAACATTTGTTGGGAGTAAAATTATTAATTGTATAAAATACACATGTTATGTCAAAATTGCCATTAAATCATCATTATTCTTATTATTATTATCACTATCATTTATCATTATTATTATTAATATTAATAATATTAATATTCTCTTCATCATCATTCTCATCATTATTATTATTACTTTCATTATTATTATTATTATAATTATAATTATTATTATTATTATTATTATAGTAAAAATTGTATGTTAACTTGAATTCAAATTTCTGACTAAGGTCACCTTTGAATACTTGTAATAACTATAAGTATGTAAACAATTTTATGTAAGGATCAGTGTTCAGTTAGAGTGGGGACGTTTAGGCTGAGTTCTGGGGATTCTTTGTCAGTTTTGATATTTGAGAACCAGCCAGTAGTTTACAGCCAGGCCGACCAGCAGCAATCTGTACATTTCAACTCATTACTAAATATCTAGAATTTAATAAAAAAGAGCAAACATTAGAGTAGGATAAAGGGGATTTCTTTTTTTCTGGATTTTTTTTTTTAAATAACCAAAATATTTTACAGTATCCTAGGCAAAATTAGATTTTAATTACCCTATATTTATCATGAAGCATTTCTTCACTTGTCAAAATGATATTTATAAAATGAATTCTGGAAAAAAGGTTCACTTGTCAGTGCAGGCTGTGGGACAATTCTCTGGCAATAGTGACAGTTGTTTTTGCATCCCCCTGTCATTTAATTCTCCTAGTATACTGTTATCAGCTTATCTACTAATTTGCTTGCAGGGTAACTGGTACATTTTCGTTGATTTATCAAAATTTTACATATTTATCACATTATTTATATCATAAAACTCTTTGTATTAAAAATTTATTAAGATAAATTGTGCTTAATTATAATCATTTATATTAATTATTTATAATCAGCATTTTCTCGTTTCTGAGTAACATTTTCTATAATTTTACTGTTTTACAGTTCATAATACTGAAAATTGTGAAATAGTTTTATGTTAATATTATCAGTGTAATTATATATTCAGGCTTTAAGTATATTCTGGTTGTTTAATGAATATTTATGTGTTTTTAATTACCACAAATAAACATTATAATTATCACATAAGTCTGTATTAGAATTAAAATAATTTCTCTTCTTTGGTTTACAATGAAATCAAATAATTGTAGTAAAATTGTTATTTTGTGGTGTCAAAAATATTGAATTACATTTTTACTTAAGATTCTGGTTCAATTTATGACAGTTATTGGCTCTGAGGTGGACTAAAAATTAACAGATTGGCTCTCTGTCTGTCTGTAGATAATCTCTCTTTATATTAATGGGACCTACCCCACTTTTGATAAATCGTATAGTTAACCCTTTACCTCATATAAACGCGAAACAACGCACTTTCGACCCCCCCCCCCTTTTTTTTAGGCCTGAAATAGTGAAAAAATGTCCTATTTGGGCCCCAAACACATGTTTTCATTTGAGAAATGTTGCTAAAAAAAGTGAGCACTTTTTCGGCGCTGCCCCCCATCCAAAAGAGGGTTGCCAGAAGGGGGATGTGCCCCCTTCTGTTTGCGGGGTTTGGAGGGGGTGGCTGTCCCCCTCATCGCCAAGAAAATTTTGGACTTGTGAGCGGCTATAGATGACCCCAGACTGATCATAAGGTAATGTGTAACCAACGCTGAAAAGCCTTCGACTCTATCTCAATCCATTTAGAAGTTGCAGCACTTTGAAATCAATTTTGATGGAAAAAATCAAGGCAAAATAGTGATTTTTGGCAATTTTGAGATGTCCCCTCGTTGTCATGGTAACAGGAAATTTAAGACTGAGCATGTCGTTACAAAGGCAATGGTCCAGTCAACATTTGTGCCAAGTTTGATTAGTATTGAAGCATTTTTCATAGTTTCATAGCTGAGTTTGAACTTGTAACAGGAGGCTTTTCAGTGAAAACGGCCATTTTTCACAATATGCTCATGAGGGAAAGGGTTAATGGTAAAAATGTTTTAAACTCTTGCACTATAGGTAAACACTGTATGAATATTTGTATCATTAAAAAAAGGTTTTTAAAGAAAGGACAAAATCAGGTTAACCCGACTTATAAAGAATGCAGCTTCCTAAACATTATATACATGTATAAGTTTGTGCATTCCGTTATTCAAATTACACATATTTTGTAAAAATTTCCTAGATTTCAATAAATGCCTGCAAAAAAAGTATTGTGCCTAAAAATGAATATAGTACTTTTATATCTTTAAGGAATTTCTATATAAAAAACGCTAAGATTTACACAAACATTGTATACATAGTTATGTTGAGACTGCACAGATGTGCATGTGGTCTGGCTTTTTACTTACGATATACTGGCAAGGTGTTGTTGTTGTTGTTGCTAGAAATCAGATAAATAATGTGTTATGTTTAAACACTTTGTTTATATATTGACATGAGTTATTAGTTGATCAAGGAGTATTTCTTTTCAAATATGATAAATTGTTTTCAATAAATCTATACAAGTACTGACATTTTATTCTGTAGTGACAATAAAATAATTTTTGACAAACCAGGAAATTAAATTGTATTTTTATAGAAGTCTTAAATGTTTTCTATAATAATGTAAATCAAATAGTATTTTAGTATCTGTTTAATACTCATACCTCATAGTTAATATTTGCATGTTAATTGTTTTTTCCATAATATAAAAATGTTTCTTTTTTTATTCTTGTTTAAAATTGTTTTTTATTGACTTTTCTTTTTATTTTATGTGTATACGCCTTGTAAGATTTATCATGGTTTATAATAATTTATAATGTATGTTTTCTCTATCTAGGATCCTTTGTCCGGTGAATATAAGTTTGGGTCACCACAGCTGGTCATGAAGGTTAAACCATCACCTCCTCTTGCAGGTAATATATGCTAAAGTATTCACCCATGACCTCCTGAATTTCTGTAATGGACTTGCCCATCTTAGAATCTGGAACAGTTCATGCAAAGTTTAAGGGATTTTTATATCGAAATACACAAATTGAGCTACTACCAGTATTATAGAGCCTGGTCAGACTGCATGGACATGCACAGACTGGCCTGGCAGACTATACTGGTGGCTTATTAGCTTAACACATTTAGCTCCTGTAGGTAAAGGGTTCAAATTGTTTTAGTAAGTTGTTTAATGAAATAAGGTGTATGTTATAATGAATAATTTTATACAGGGGCCTCCATAACTGAGTGGTTAAGGTCACTGACTTAAAGTAAAAAGTTACACAAAAGTCCCTTTACTCCTCTGGAGCCACTATATTTATTCATATCTGGTACTTCAGTCAAGTTGGCATAGTCATCACCAAGGACTGTACTGGGGCAGCTGACTGGTTTCCTTATATAATAGAATTCAACACTCCTGACAGGGTTCAAACCCATTAGTGATCTAAATTAGGCACTTTAAATAACAGCAATCAGCCTTGACGGCCCCAGACTGGCTGTAAATTATCTAAGTTGTCTTATTGATTATAAAGGAAACAACTATTACACCTCCTACACAAGTTATAAATCAAGTTTACAATAAAAATATGATTTTTTATGAGGTTCCTGTAATTTATAAAAAAAAACACCTTTCATTCCACCACCTGAGCTGCTGTATTTCAAATAGAGTTAACATGAGATGACACAAGTAATGTATGGTATATAAAAAAAACAACTTGATATAGAGGACTAAAGTGTTGTTGTAAATGTCACACATTGGTATTACAGTGACATTTAGTTGCCATATAGCAAGATATTTGTAACTTCATTTAAATAATGCATGAGATACAATACTCTAGCACTGATACATGTGATATTTTATTATGTCTTCCCCCAGCAGTAAAGCCTAAGCAAGTCATCATTTTACCTATACCATGTTGGTTGATTATAAAAACACACAAGAAGTCTGTAATTGAAGCTCACAAATCTGAGACCCAAATAAACTGATGCTTTTTGTGGTGGCTAGATAAAATTACATTATGCTATATTTATATTTTCTAATGTGTTTGACGTGAGACATATTTATCCGATTTGTACACCTGGCACCTTGTTTTCTTGAATTTGTTACAGGAATCAAAAGAAGTAACAAAAAGTACTTGCAAAAATAAAATATATAAAAGCATACAGATTAGGAAGATGTTAATTATTATTGGTAATGGATAAAAAATTAATGTTAGCACATCAGGTTACAAAAAACAAGATGGTGGAAATCAACCAATTTCAAAGGCCAATGAATCTCTTGCAAAGGATTGTGGGTCTGGACTGGAAAATGCTTTATATCCCTTTTATAATAATAAGACTGTGGTGATATTTTTAGAATTTTCTGAGTCACAGTGGGTAATTGACTATGCACAGTCATGTACTAGACTATAATATTGAAAAGCACAATCACAAAGTGTAAAGCTTGCTTTCATTTTTTAGCTCGACTTTTCTATGAAAAGGGGAGCTATCCTACTCGCCCCGGCGTCGGCGTCGGCGTTAGCGTTGGCGTCACACCTTGGTTAAGTTTTTCGTACCACCCCACTTTATTTCAGAAGTATTACAAGTATGGCTTTGAAACTTACCATACTTGTTCACCATCATAACCTCCATCTACAGACAAGAGTACATAACTCTGTCAAGGTTTTTGACAGAATTATGGCCCTTTTTTGACTTAGAAAGTGTATTGAGCTTGGTTAAGTTTTTTGTACCACCTCACTTTATTTCAAAACCATTGGAGGTATTGCTTTTAAACTGACCATACTTGTTTACCATCACGACCTTCATCAACAGACAAGAGGACATAACTCTGTTCAAGGTTTTTGACAGAATTATGCCCCTTTTTGACTTAGAAAATACATTGAATATGGGTAAAATCCACTTATTGCCTTAACCCTTGAGATATTGCTTTGAAACTTTTAATGCTATTTCACATCATTACCCCCATCTGTACGCAAGAGAAGGTAACTCTGTCAAGGATTTGTTTAAAAATTAAGGCCTTTTATCGACTTAGAATCTTGGTTAAGTTTTTAGTACCAGTCCACTTTTTGACTGAACTGTTTGAGATATTAATTTTGAAAGTTGGAATACTTGTTTACAATCATGATTCCCAAACATGTCCAGGAGAAGGTAATTCTGTCAAAGATTTTATTTGAATTATGGCCCTTAACTGTCAATGTTTTGTATTATAGGCAAGCACTAAAAAACTTAAAAAATCTAAAAAAATTCATTCCTATCCACTTGTTCACTTTACCATAAATTATGTCATGTAAACATTGCTGTAATATTCAAGGGTATCAAACAACTAGTTCACTTTAAAAATACAGAGATTCTTGTATTGCCTTTTACTGCAAAAACTTTTTTTATTGGCAAGCAATATAATATTGAAAACCACAACCACTAAGTGTAAAGCTTGCTTTCGTTTTTGACCTGTACACCCGCCATTTACTCTTGAAAGGCATAATGCCACTTAGATCTGTTGATTTACAATAAGAAGTCACAGTCAGGTTGCATCAGTTCATAATCAGATAATTTCTTTTAATGTCATTTGAAATTGTTAGGTTATTGTCAGAAACAAATAAACATAAACAGAGTTCAAAGAGATTTTTTAATACATCTGACAGATTAACTTTGAAAATCAAGGAATTGTTAATTTGCATTTAGCTGAATACAATTATCTTAATTGAAATTTGATTATTTGCTCTTGTGGTTTTTCATTTGTAAGGGTGTTTAGACTGAAGAAATATCTTAAATTGACCAAAAAATCTTGCTTTGAGTAAAATGCTATTGTTAGATTCTGTACTGTTTAAAGCTCATTTATAACTGTTATGAATAAACTAAAAGCCATTTTTAACTGTAAAGGCTAGAACTTAGTATTGATAGATATGTATTCTGACCTTTTATTTGAATAACAATAGATTTAACCATGTGCTCTTTTGTTAAAAGCATGTGCAGAAATTCTTAATGTATCCAGTAATCTGATAATTAGAATTAGACAGGTCAGCAGGTATCTATGCATTGTCTTTTGTGATAAAGATTTAATAAAATTATGTAGACTTTTCCATATGAGTCTGGTAAAACTGCACTGAGGAAATAATGCTTGTATAAGTCTTAATGGCTTCCAGAGTCACTTGACTTCTTTAATTAGGGTCACAAACTTGACCTTAAACCCCCTTCAGATTGTTGAAGAAACATTAATTTTATCTCATTCATTAAAAATGATTTTTAACCTTTCAAATAGAAATGTCATTTTATGTTGATGATGACTTATGTTGGTATGATAAATTTGGTGTTGTTTTCCCTAATATAGTGTGTTGTTTTTTTTCTGGATCTAAATATATGCTACTTTTAAGGAACAAAATTACGAATCAGTTTTAAAGTTTGTCTGTTAGTTAATTAAGTAATGTATTATCATTAACATAAAACTGTTCTTTAGACATTCTTCTTGCAGACATGCATTTCAATCTGTGGTTATAACTTATTTGTTGATTGATTGTTGAATTTAAATTTATGATGAATTAAAGGCATAGTAAGCCTAAGTAATTACTATGATTTTTTCTGTAAAAAAGGGGCAAAACCGTGTTTTATAATGTTTAAAATAATGGATTAAGAGCTTTTAAGATGCTTATCACATGGAGAAAGCATTTGTGAATGTGAAATGATTTGTCATGCAAGAAGCAAAACATAAACAAACAAAGCTGTATTTTATTTATACAAAAAACTTTATCGTTATATCTTTACCATTTAAGGCCAAAAAACAAATGACGGTGAAGGTGTATTACCAATGAGTACAATTTTCAGAAACCAAAAAATAGAACATTTAATATGAATAAAGAGTTCTTGAGAAAAAGGCTGATTGTTAATAGGGTTTAAGGGTGTTTTTGTGACTGTTTTTATTCATGAGCTGTTTAAGGTATGCTCACATGATTGAGTCCGTGGCCAAGTGGTTAAGGACGTTGACTGCAAGCCACTTGCCTCTCACTGCTGTAGGTTCGTATTCTGTCAAGGACTTTGGATTTTTTTATGTGAGGAAGTTATCCTGCTAGCTTACAGAATGGCAGTGCTTCTATACTCATGTGCCCATATGGGTTTGAAATAATGCATGGAGGGGCATTTTAATCTATATCTCATGAAAATGTAGATCTAATAGATCGCTTTACAGTCAAAATACTGTGTTTATATCGTCCAGACATGAAAAAGAACAGATTAAAATCACATCATAATAGAACAGTTTTCTTAGGGTATTAAATTATTGATAAGAACAATAATTATTACAGTATATAACTAATTGTTTTTTTTTAAAAACCACCTGTCAGCAAAGACTATGTCCTTTTTTTGTACATTCTCTTAAACTGGTCTTTCTAGACAGGTTTTACTATACTAAAAGCTCTTTTATATTCTGTAGGTTCATCAGTGGCCAATCTTCTAGCTACATGTCAGAAAGTTGAGAGTAATGATGTGATTGGTACAGGACATAACTTACTGTTTACACAAGCTCACCTTGATCTACGGCAGTCAGTATTTGATCATATCCATGACAACCTTCTCAAATATCTCCCTGAAGATGACGAAAATATGGAAAAATTACAACAGTAAGTGTGCACATATTAAAGTCTGATTCAAATCACTTAAATAAAAGATCAGACACATAAGCAGGTGTGTTTTACAAAATTAATATGTTGAAAAATGCGCATATTCCAGTTAAAGTAAATGTAATATTACAGATTTTAAAGAAAGAAATGAGCTTGAATTTCAATTTCCATGTAAAACTGTACAGTTTGAATTCATTCAGTGATTTTGAATGTGTTAGGATGTTATAAATTATTGTACAAACTGTCATTTCACTCTGATAGCTGCACTTACTTTTTGATATTCGTTCATTTTTGAAGCTTGGGAGTTTTATATATAACCATACAACCTTAGAAAGTGACAACAGCTCATTGACATTTATGACCAATGGCTGACATCAACAATTTACACAATCTGACTGAAGTTCAGATCTACTTATTTCTTCTGTAGTGTTTTAGGAGCTAACTTTAATTAAATTTCAAATCATTTACATTTATACAATATATGTGAATATACATGAAACAGTTATGGATAACTTTATTCAGAAATATCAAAATTTCTTCAAGTAATATTATGCATTTCTTCTAGCTGTACATCATTAAAAAAATTAAAAAAATAAGAATTCCTAAAGAACGTCCAAAACAACAAAATTGAAAATATTGTAGGCTCAGTCTAATTTTGCATGTTTATACAGCAGCATAGCATCATTTTAAATCCATGAATGGTTTCTGCCACTCATTGAAATAAGTTGTGATAGGGTACATTGTTTGGATGGGGGACAGCGGGTACACACTTTTATATGATGTACAATAAATAGAGAAGCATGGTATGTCTAACTGTTCATGTTGAGATGTTTTAGAATAAGCTAGATGCTTACATAAGATAAACTAAAACACTTTTCGCTCGGTGTTTTGTTAACAATATATCTGTACTATAGGCAAACAGTGGTAAATAATACATGCAAATATTTGACCTCATTAATTATGAAATATAGAGAAAAAATGCTTTGTAATAGCTCTGAGAATAACAGCTGATTAGTATAACAATGTTATTATAACATATAGCAAATTATTGAAAAAAATGTTCCATCATTTACCATTATAAAACCTTTGACCGCAGAACCACATCCATTTATTATAGAGGTGGGGTGATATATAACTTTGAAATGTTTAGAAGGTTTTTATGACATGATTTTGATTAATTTAATTTGTGGTTAAACATTTTTCTGTATGAAATGTCACGTACATCAATGGGTCAATGTCAAAATGTCGTTAATTCAGTGAACGTAATTAGCAAGATATGCCAGTTTTGCGTTTAACCTTTGATGTAATAATTAAGATAATTAAGATCATAGTGTTTTTATGATATGTAAATTAAAGAATCTACTCAATTTTCATATGCTGTTGTATTGTCTTTATTGTTGTGTATTCATATATTAAAAATGAATTATTAATTACATCGCAAACAAATAAAAAGGTGCAATACGTCCAAATTAGATTGACTATCAAATTTTATCATTTGATATTGTTGCCTTAATTGAAGGTTATGATACTATAGTTTAAGATACATGTACATGTATGTGGTCATTTCACAGGGTTCTCTTTCAGCAACTTGGGAACAGGACCCCAGAATTTGGAATTTTTATGTTTTAGACAAATTTGGAAAAACTGGCAACATATTGTAAACAAACAAACAAACAAAGAAATCTGCAAATATTTGGTTAATTAAACTTTATATTTCACTCATAAGCACATATTACAATTTGGAATGCAGTATTACAATTTTTTATGGCACAATGCAGTTAAATGTAACAAAATGACAATAATTTTTTTTTTTTTTTTAATTTTTTTTCCTTGAATTGGGAATTTTGGAACATGACCCATTTATATTGGTCATCAAATGGACCAGAAAAAAGCACTGTTCCTTGATAATGCTACATATTGAAGATGTTATTCTAGTAAGTGATATATATATAGTCACCTTAGTGCAATAATGTGTTAACTCCTATTATATTATATAAGAAGATAACCCGTAATTGAATTAAGGTGACAAAATGATTATTATATGTGGTAAACATCTTGTCTAAATTTATTTCCTGTGACAGGTATCCAAACTTTCATTTCCTGACAGCTGGTCGCATGTTACCACAGGGATTGGAACAAGTCAGTCTAGAGGGGAGACCAACAACTGTGGCAGTCTGGTGGCCAGGCTCCACCACTTTGATGCAGTATTCATTAATAAAGACATCTAAAGGTAAACTCTTAAGAAGCATTGCCCTTTTTCTAATGAAAAAAAACCTCCAAAAGTGTATTGCCCATTTCTTCATTATAAACACACTAAAATTGCACGTTTCAAATATAAACATCGTAAAAATATTTGCCCACTTTTCCTTTATAATCACTTTCTTCATTTCAAATTCAAAATTAAAAAAATTAGATTATTTCACATTATTTTCCTCCATTCCCAGAATGATTCTGTTTATTTATAGACATAATTGTTTTGGACAGAATCATATTGTGCTATATGAACATTTATTGTCATATAAAACATATTATTTCTTATCCTACATATATATATATTATTAGTTATACAAGTTCCTGACAGGATAATATATGGAAGAATAGATTCTCAATGAAATGGAGACATTTATATTTCTGTCAGCAAGGCTATATTCTCCTGTATATATCGTACAAATTTGTTATTAACGACATGTCATAAAAAAAACCCAGCAAATATAGACTGTTTTGAAAGAAGCGCGCAAAAAAAAAATGGGTACATAAATAAGATGATACCAGATGTTCAATGGCTGTGTAATAGAAAATAATTCAAATATAAAGTCATCATTATAAGCTTGGTAACTTTTAATAATTTTTTTGAAAGACACATGAACCAAGAAATATGCCATAAAGAACAAAACACAATAATGAATTTTTATGCACATATGTAGATAACAGTCTACAATAAAGAAATACATTGTTACTTGTGGGTGCTTTAGTTCTTTATAGTATATACAGCATTATAGTATACTAAGTGTTTAAGCCAATTCCAATTCGAGAAATTTATTTGAATTATTATAAAATTACATGTATATATGCATGTTTTTAGCTCACCTGTCACAAAGTGACAGGGTGAGCTTTTGTGATCGCTTTTCGTCCGGCGTCCGTCCGTCGTCCGTCCGTCCGTCCGTCCGTAAACTTTTACTTTAAATGACATCTCCTCATAAACCACTAAGCCAATTTCATCCAAACTTCACAGGAATGTTCCTTTGGTGGTCACCTTTAAAAATTGTTCAAAGAATTTAATTCCATGCAGAACTCTGGTTGCCATGGCAACCGAAAGAAAAAACTTTAAATATCTTCTTTTAAAAAACCATAAGAGCTAGAGCTTAGATATTTGGCATGAAACATCTTCTAGTGAGTGTCTACCAAGTTTGTTCAAATAAAAGCCCTGGGGTCAAAATTGGCCACGCCCCGGGGGTCATTGATTTTCCCTATATACATATAGTAAAAACTTAAAAAAATCTTTCTTTTAAAGAACCAAAAGAGCTAGAGCTAAGATATTTAGCATGAAACATGTTCTAATGGGTGTCTACCAAGTTTGTTTAAAATAAAAGCCTAGGGTCAAAATTGGCCCCGCCCCGGGGGTCATTGATTTTTCCCTATATGCATATAGTAAAAACTTAAAAAATCTTTCTTTAAAGAACCAAAAAGAGTTAAAGCTAAGATATTTAGCATGAAACATGTTCTAATAAGTGTCTACCAAGTTTGTTCAAATAAAAGCCCTTGGATCAAAATTGGCCCCGCCCCGGGGGGTCATTGATTTTCCCTATATACATATAGTAAAAACTTAAAAATCTTTTTAAAAAACCATAAAGCTAGAGCTTAGATATTTGGCATGAAACATCTTCTAGTGAGTGTCTACCAAGTTTGTTCAAATAAAAGCCCTGGGGTCAAAATTGGCCCCGCCCCGGGGGGTCATTGATTTTCCCTATATACATATAGTAAAAACTTAAAAAATCATCTTTTAAAGAACCAAAAGAGCTAGAGCTAAGATATTTAGCATGAAACATGTTCTAATGGGTGTCTACCAAGTTTCTTAAAATGAAAGCCCTGGGGTCAAAATTGGCCCTGCCCCGGGGGTCATTTATTTTCCCAATATGCATACTAGTAAAAACCTTAAAAATCTTCTTTTAAAGAACCAAAAGAGCTAGAGCTAAGATTTTTAGCATGAAACATGTTCTAATAAGTGTCTACAAGTTTGTTCAAATAAAAAGCCCTGGGGTCAAAATTGGCCCCGCCCCGGGGGTCATTGATTTTTCCTATATGCATATAGTAAAAACTTAAGAAATCTTCTTTTAAAGAACCAAAAGAGCTACAGCTAAGATATTTAGCATGAAACATGTTTTAATAAGTGTCTACCAAGTTTGTTCAAATAAAAGCCCTGGGGTCAAAATTGGCCCCGCCCCGGGGGATCATTGATTTCCCTATATGCATATATTAAAAACTTAAAAAATCTTCTTTTAAAGAACTCAAAGAGCTATGGCTAAGATATTTAGCATCAAACATGTTCTAATAGGTGTCTACCAAGTTTGTTCAAATAAAAGCCCTGGGGTCAAAATTGGCACAGCCCCCTTGGGGTCATTGATTTTCCTTATATGTGTATAGCAAAAACTTAAAAAATCTTCTTTGAAAAAACCCAAATAGCTAGAGTTAAGATATTAAGCATGAAACATCTTTAAGTGAGTCACAGTCTACAAAGTTTGTTCAAATAAAAGACCTGGGGTCAAAATTGGCCCCGCCCCAGGGGTCATTGATTTTCTTCATATGTGTATAGCAAAAACTTAAAAATCTTCTTTGAAAAAACCCAAATAGCTAGAGTTTAGATATTAAGCATGAAACATCTTCTAGTAAGTGTCTACAAAGTTTGTTCAAATAAAAGCTCTGGGGTCAAAACTGGCCCGGCCCCAGGGGTGTCATTGTTTTTAACTATATGTGTATTATAGTAAAAACTTTAAAAAAATCTTCTTTCAAAAAGCCCAATGAGCTAGAGCTTAGATGTTTAGCATGAAACATCTTCTTATGGGTGTCTACCGAGTTTGTGCAAATAAAAGCCCTTGGGTTAAATTGGCCCTGCAACGTTGGGGGGCTTATATACAGGTGAGCGACCTCAGGGCCATCATGGCCCTCTTGTTTATGTGATAACCTTACATTTTTTCCCCTGTGTATTAGATATAGAGTTCAAACCAGATCTTGTTTGGCCTTTTACGTGTAAAATCACAAGTTCCGAGGTTTCTCCTGACACCAATGTGATAGCTATTGGACTGGAAAATGGAAATTTGGTTGTGTGGGACAGACATATGGGTAAGTTGTAATTTTACTCTGTGTTTTTATGGCAATTGAAACAAAAAAATTGATATGCTGACTCATCACTTCTGTGGGTTGCTATTACATGTATTTAGTTCTTTGCTTACATGAGCTGATATAGTACACTCACATTACACACCTTTTTCTGCATTGTACAAAGTAGGACCAGGCAAAAGGCTTCAGATGAACAGTCTAGGGTCGACATGGCTCTTATATTTGGTTGAATTAACTTAAGTTAACTTCAGTATTGTGTCAACAAAGGATGTACGGATCATTAGTCAAGATCCATGGATTTATGGGTGGGACTAATTGCATAGGGACAATTTTTCTGAAAAGTTTATTTAGGTTTTTGCAAAACTGTCACAATAAGATGCCAAAACAAAGAAAGATATTTTCTGATTTTTGCAAAACTTTAATAAGTAGCTACAATATGTCAAGTTGTCTGGGAAACAGCAATTTAGTCACAAAACTTTCATTTTAAAAGGTAGTCAACATCAGCGCTTCAAAGAATAAAAAAGTATAACAATTTGTGAAAAGACAAATTAAATTTCAGGATTAATGCAAAAATGAGTGTATCTGTCTGCTTCATTTATAGGCATAGATACTATTAACTGTATTCCAACTCAGTCATATAGCTTGTGTTCCTAAAACAAAAGATTTTTTAGAATCATTTAAAGATGACATGGATTGCACAATAGAACAGTGTTCCACAAGTTTTACAATGTTGAAAAAAAAGATATTTAAAAGAACAAAGAAAAAAACAAGGCACTTAAGCTACAAAAATGATCATATAAAATAGCGCATCCTGGACAGGAAATAAAAGACAAAAAAATGTTATTGTTGTGTGCCGTAATTAAACCGAAACTTTAAAGAAAAAAAAAGATATTTAGTTTTTGCACCTGTTCATGTGAAAAAAGATGGTCCAACAATAATGTTTTGTAAAAAACAAAACTAAATATCCTCAAAATTTATTTTTCTGTACTGTAATAGCTGGATTACACAGAAGTAGTGAAATTTTAACAATTTTGTTGAAATTTCGTTTTTGCGTAAAAGTAGATCTGGAAGTCAGGCGGTTTTTTTTTTTTATAAATGAGATATTTGTTATGTAAGATGAAGATAACAAAAAACAAGTATTTTTTGTTACTTTAATTTTAAAGCTTTGATGTGTAATACAAAAACCTGCTATTTTTGATCAAATTTTCAAATGAAATGTCAGGTTGCATGTTGAATTTTACTTACTTTAATGACATATCATTTATCATTTGGAAACAATGTACTGTCAAACATAATTCTTTAGTGAACCTTTGTTTAAAATGTAGAGTATTTTAGAATGTGTGAGACTTAAAATTGTTTGATATCAATTGCTGTTACAGTGCATTATATAAATCTTTGATAATATTGCATTAAAATTAACCTTTAACACGATGTAGACATTTAAAGAAACAAATTTTTAACAGCTGCAATTTTGCATTTGAAAAAGAAAAGCTATGAATAAAATGATTAATGATTACTTTGAGTACATGTAAGTTTGGCAGGGATAAAAGCCATTTTAAGTTACCAGATATTTCTGTAAAATGAGGAACCAGTCCTTTAGTTGAGACATAATACATGTAGTAGAACATGTTTACACTAGTGTGTTTAAGTCAACATTAAAGATTTATAAAATAAATTTCATGAAAGTAGCAAAATAATGATAAACAAAGCGGCATTTTGTTATCGCTGAACAAAATACTTAATAACTATAAATTAACTAATGGCTAAAAAGCAAAACAAAACTGTTATAGAACACTTTTAAAAAGGTGATGGTGGTGGTGGTAGTAGTTTTCACTCTGGATCCAATTCTCTACCTATTGAGCTAACAGGACGTCTTACTTTACAAAAGCCATTTTGGGCTTATTAGGTCTTTTAATTCTCTCATTTGATTTGATAAAACGTTGGATTAATTAAATCACAATTTCAGTGCAATGTGTTCAAGTAAATGAATCATTTTCTTATGCAATATTAACTATGTTGATATTCAAAGATATATGTTATATTCTTTGTGAGTAATTATGAAAAACCACCAAAAAATGCATTTTGAATCATTTAAATAATACAATAAGCAATGTGTCATAATCAGGTAAAGGTAGAATTTCAACCAATCTGAATATTTGTATCTTCTACTTATACTATAGTGTAATTAATTATGAATGATTACTCAGATATATGCATGACATGTGTTATTTAAAATTAAAAAATGTAATAGTCATTATAAATTGTTACATTTTATTCACCACACAACAGTTACTGTAACCCACACCTTTATCCACCACCACAGTACAGTCCTTGGGATAGTGTCAGTCCTTGAGATAGTGGCGGTCCTTGGGATGGTTAATCAACATGAGTAATTTCTAGCATTGATCAGTTACTTAATATCTGCTGTTGTTTTGTAGCTAAAATACATTGTATAATTACTATGATTCTGCATATATTAAGTGTCCATACTAAACCACTTTGACATTTTTCAAGAAATATTTTATAAGAATATCGAATGATACATTTCTATTGTTTAGATTAATATTTGAAATATTTATTGAAAATGCATTGTAGACCACCCACTAGCATTAAATTTCATATGTGGCTATTACCCCGTTTATACATACATGTACATATTTTGTTGTCAGGTACACAGAGGGGAGTTGTGAATGTTCAAGAGAATTCTCCTGTTGTCCAGATAAGGTTCTTGGATCCGGCACTGTATCCCCAGGATCCCCCAGCCTATCCCCCATACCCTACCAGTACAGGGACCTATATACTAGTGATGTGTGCAAACAGCGCCCTCTATACAGTCTCTACTGGGACAGCTGCTATACCACTACAAGTCAACACTATCTCACTGCCGTAAGTTTCTGTATATAAAATTACATAACGAATGCAATATAATAAGTGCTAAGTAAGTAAGTAACAACTTTATTAAAGAAGCTAGCACATTTGGTTTTGGGTCGTGTGGTTGCGTCCGTGGCCGCGTGGTTAAAGTCGTTGACTTCAAACCACTTGCCCCTCATGCTGTGGGTAGCTATCCAGCTAGCCTACGGAACATCAGTGGTTCTACTCTGGTGCCCATTCTTTCCTGAAATAATGCAGGGAAGGGCACCTGAGGTCTTCCTCCACCAGTAAAGCTTGAAAGTCGTCATATGACTTATACTATGTCCGTGTGACGTAAAACCCAATAAAACAAACAAACAATCCTTATCCTGATCTTCCATGTGAGCCTCAGCATATATATACAATGTAACATAACAACATATAATGTAACATAAACTATATACAGTATAAATCACCTTTAAAATCAAAGTATTTTTAATGATTGTTTAAAAATCCAAGAGTATCATTCTGTTTTTGTTTAAAGCATGACCTTAGTTTTATGAATATTCCTCCAAAATATGTTGATATAAAAAGTTGATTGTTTTAATCTGAACCATTTGACAACTATAGCACCAAGAATGTAAATTGTAATGTCTGTCCACATCTCTGTCCAATAGATGTGTCACTTAGATGTGTTTAGAAAGAATAGGCAGATAAATCATGAAAAATATAATTGTTGCCGTTGTTATGTGATAATTATACAAGTAGTGCTGTTTTGGACTTGCATTAAAAGTTCAATATCCTTAATAAATATTGTAGAAGCACATATTTCATGATAGAATAATTATACACATTTTATTTTAATCAGACACTAATACATTTCAGGGTAGAAAATGACAATGATACCATCACTGTGCTACAACCATTTGATACTCACCCTGATATGGTATGTCCACTTTACTTCTTAACATTATCAAGGTGTTACAATTTAAAGGCAAACAGATAACATTACAGTAAATGATGTTATTTTTAGCACAACTGTTTCCAAGAAAAGAAAGAGCTATTGTTCTCAACCAGGCATGGGTGCCACATTTTGATTAGGTTTTTGAGGGCTAGTTGGTGTTTCAAAAACTACTAAAGGGAATGGGTTGAAAAATCTCACACTTATTTGAGAGCAAAATAGGAACTTTTTATCTGAATCAGTATTGTTAAAGATGCACTCAATGCATGTATTTGCTGGGAAAGTTAGAAATGTATACAAAGTAAAAGTGAAATAAATGAATAACATGTTCAAGGCTTTTGGTTTATTATGTAACTCTAAGATATTATTTGAAACTTATATGCAGTCACAAGAATAACTGTATATAATAAAACACTATAGGATCTTGTAGAGCTTCATATTAATATCACATGAATGACAACAAGATAGATGGTGGCAATGTTTTGTTTATGACTATTTAAATGTCTCAGGGTTACACAGTTTCCTCGTGGGCCAAAAATAATGTCATTAAATCATCATTTAGTTCATTTTCTTGTCAAATGAAGAAAATCTGTTTCCTTGAAAACCAGCTCAAAAAGAAATTGTGCACAGTGAAAATGTCAGACAAAAGTGAGATTCAAATTTTCACTTGTCTCTCCCTGATGATGCATCTGGTAAAGTTTTGTCTGTATTAAGAATGATGTCTTACAGCAAGAAATGTTTTTGTTGTGGTTTTAAAACACATTTATTGTCGGAGTTAAAATATCAAATATTGCATTAAAAAAAATCGGTAAATATCTAAAAAAATAAATGCAGAATAATGAATTAATATCTTTTTTGTAGATGCCAGTCAACCTTTATTTTCTTTTCTTTTTTTCGAGATTTAATTGTATAGGTAACTTTTTTTGTGTTTATTGTCACAATACAAAGTATTGCTGATTTATTTAAAAGCTGAATACATTAATCTAAATTCAAATAATTAAAATACTTTAAATTTGTTCTATTTTGGTCTCCATGTTTGTATATGAAACAGACATATATTATTAAATAAAGATACCTGGAATTAAAGAGAATAATCTGTCTTTTAAACAGGTGACTTTTATGTTGTATAGCAAATGTTTATAACTTCTATAAATTATCAACAAATGATTATATTTGTCCTCTATGTAATGAAATATGATGAAATGATCCATCATATAAAAAAACATAAATTATACATACATGTATTAATGGCTCATTTAAAACTTCACATGTAACATTATACAACTGATATTATTTTTAAAATTTCCATACCAGAATCAACCAGAGGTAAAGGTTAACTGTTACAGTAGTTATTATAGTAAATTAAATGTTTGATAAATTTTTCTTTTTGTATATTTGTTGTTGATTTTTAATGCATTTATATTTTTGTGTGCATTTTATGTAAATTTGTTTTACTTGAAACAACAGTGTTCTATGATCTCTCTTTTATGTTCACAATTCATATCCAATTGCATATCAAATGGCACAGAACCATATGCATGTAACAAAATGTAACATCATAACCCAAAATACATAGAAATATTGTATGAACTTGATATAACCACATACCAGCCAGATTTAGACCCACACCTCACAAAGAATTTTTCATAAAGTCTCTGCACTTAACAACACAATAGATATTCCAGGAAGTCTGCACATACAAAATATCTGTTTTAAAGGGAGACACAGGCATTTCTTCAATTTGAATTTTTCTTTCAATATTCTATAAATGTCCAAGAAATGAATACACTAAACAGTCATATGAATCCTTATAAAGAATAAAAATTAGGTTTCCCAACTTGACCCATGTGGGTCAGGTTAGAGCATTTAAAACAGATAGAATAATATGCAGGCAAGCTAATAAAGAAATATACTCAATATTAAGTTAAATATCAAATGAGCCGCTTCACCACAAAACCAACATAGTGCGTTTGCGACCAGTATGGATCCAGACCAGCCTGCGCATCCGCGCAGTCTGATCAGGATCCATGCTGTTCGCTTACAAACCCTATAACAAGTAGAGAAACTGATAGGGAACAGCATGGACCCTGCATGATCAGACTGCGTGGCTGCGCAGGCTGGTCTGGATCCATGCTGGTCGCAAACGCACTATGTTGGTTTTGTCGTGACGCGGCTCAAATATTCTTGATATAAAAAGAGTGAGCAAATCATCTGAAATATTGCCTTCAAGTTATCAGTACAGACCTACATCAAAATTCACATACAAACTAATATTTCCAGTCCTGTATTGACAAAATAAATAACCTCAGTTAAGTCCAAGTTTAACGTTTTATTAAGTTTTTGTCTTTTAATTGTCTGAAACTTTGAAATTCCTTAATCCTGATTTAAATGCACCTAAATCTGCAAGCATGGTAAAACTTACAAGTTTTTTTGCAGACCAGACTATTACCACTGCTTGTTTGTTGCAAGAAAATGAAATTTATGAAATATAACCATTATAATTTTCTCCTGAAATGTTGATATTAAACAAATGTTAGTGAACACCTGGGGCTTGTGAAACAATAAAATGCTTTTCTTCTCCAAAGGTAGATCTTTCTTGATGAGGCAAACCATCTGTGAATCTAAATTGTGCTTAATTGAATTTAATTGAATCTAATTGAATGAATGATATGGATATGATATTCATTACATTCTTATAATAAAATTGTACATATTAGCATCGAGATTCAATCTATATCACTTGCTGTTTATCACACACTGTTTGTAACTTGCTGTTCATCACTCGCTGTTTATCACTTACTGTTTATCACTCATCATTAAATCATTAAAGTAATTTAGCTCGAAACGAAACGAAAATTTGGTTGTTGTTTTTTTTATATTAAATATATATAATCTATGATATCTCACTTGTTTTACATGCTGATGAGATCATAGAAAAATGAAAATTAACAGACTGAGAAAGAATGTGCCAAGGTGACCAGTGAGTTACAATCAAAATGAACAAATATATCCTGTAAAAATATTGAACAACATTTTGTTTGATATGTTTTAGTTGCTGACTGTTACTAGGAAGGGAGATATTCAAATTAGAGACACTCTACAGGGAACCATTCTGTGTGAGATTCAGCTTCCTTCAACACATGAACTGTCTTCACCTTGGGATCCTGTCCTTGCAGTGGGAGGTCAAGGTCAAAATATGTATGTTAAAGGTGAGTAGGGGACATATTTGAAGTATCTAATTATGTCAAAGGTTAAAAGATGTTATGGAAAATAAATATTTGTTTGGTTATGATATAAATAACATAATTTAAGAGATCATTATATTTAGATTTGATGATGGACATTTTTTGCTTGCCTTTTTGAAGAATAGAGAGAGGTATTGTTCACTCACACAGGCGTTGCCATCACACTAAGGTAAAGTTCTAGTATGCAAGTTGGTATCTCGAAAACTACTGAAGGGAATAATTGATACTTTACACTGATTGAGAGCATAGTATTACATTAATAGGATGTCACTGTCCAAAGCCCATAATTCTAAGTTAAACTTAGATTTTGACAGAATTATAGCCCTTTTTGAACTTAGAAAGTTCTACATTATCTAGGCTATTGTTTTACTATTTAGCACTTCCAGTAGTCAAGCACACTGTCCTACCAAAAGCTTTTCTTGATTAAAACATACTTAGTTACAAAAAATATACCTTAGTATTGAAAATGAACAACTGAAAATGGTTGAAATCTTTCTTTATTAAACATAGCCTTGATTTGTACACTTTTCCTAAATAAATTATTTAAAATGAATCTCTGGATTGCTACACTTGGAGAAAAAACACCTAAATGTAAAATTATTTATTTATTTCCAGTTTTAGAATTATATGTTTGGTACCATATTTTAGGTTATTTAATAACCTACATTATAAGTGATAGACATGTTTTCAAAAAGCAGTTTGTTTAGGTGAAAAATAGTCAGTTTTACACTGTAGGGGTCAAATGAAAATGACGCATTATGTGATATTGGGGCATATTCTAATTTTGTGAATTAAACTGCATACTTTCTAACTCTAGAAATGATTTTGTTGTGATTTTTCTGCGGAAAATTGAGTAAATGTCAACAGGGTGTAAAATGTATTACCTGTACAATACATCTGACGGAATTGATGTAACATTGTATGTCATGTTGGGGAATGTTATTCTCAGTGACTTGTATAGATTCTTATACAATTTTTGCCATCTTTGTTTAACCTAACTGCTGGTAAGAACATCCCGAAATCTGAGGGGCAGTGCAAGACATCAACACAGTCGATCAGAAAATTATTTACCCATTGCCATCCATGTAAATTGCCATCCATGTAAATTACAAGAATAGGTAAAAAATATGCAAAATTTAATAGCCCTTACTGGGTTAGATGCAGTAGATATATGTGATAAATACTCAAAATCAGTTCTTAATCCCTTGTAACAAGTAAATTAATACTTGAATATTTAAATTCTTCTTACTTTTCTTAAAATCTTAATAGTACATTAATCTCCCCTGCATTAATTTATCTATTTATATATAAGCCCTTTAGCATAACCATGGTGCTTTTATTCAATAAAAGCTGTGGTGTCACAAAGTGTCATGTTGTAACACATTATAAATGGTGTAATGTCAGTCACTTTGATGTTGTCTTGTTTTGTTCTTTGTTGAGTTCTTTTATTATACTCAACTTACTGACTTATAAGAAATGAGAAAAACAGAAACCTTAAAACTTCATAGATAATAGTGTCTAGACAGGCCATTATCATAATTTAACTGTAATGATTGTGTTGTGAACTTTTTAGCGATATATTTTCTCGTTAGATCATCAACATCGGGCATTTCATTAGATTAGGTGTTAGGAGAGTGTTTTTCTTACTTATTTTGTTGGAGTTGCCATTATAACATCATTCTAATAGGTTGCAGGAATATGATATGGTTTAATTTCTGGTTGTTGATGTCTCAAGATGCACCAAATATGCAATAATGTGTAGTTACTTCAATTATCCTGGCATAATAACGTCCTTGTCTAAATAGTAACAGTTATGACTTATTTCTGCATCATTAATTGCACTTATAAATATGTTCTACATTTGAAAAAAAGAATCCAGCAAAACTTTAATCGGTAAATTTTATAAGGTATTAAATGCAAAATTACCCCTCCCATAATTATTGTTTTGACATACAGTGTTTGCAAAAGTGAGTTATTGGTAGACAATTTCGTAAATTAATTATCTTAAAGGAACTTTACTGAGGTCCAAAAGCCAAAAAAAATATAAAATTTGAATTTCTTACAGAGATCAGTTGAGGCACTTAAATCAGAAAGATAGGCGAAAAAATTCAAGAAATAAACTCAAAAATAAATTGAAAATTGTATTTTTGTGCTATTCTTAGCCCAATTTGAGTGAAAACAACTTCAACTATTGGGTTTATAATTTTTAATTATTCTGGAAAAACGGAATGAGTGAATGATCTGAAATTTTGCACTCAAGTTATTAATCTTTACCTACATTAAGTGGAACATTAATCTCAAAAGTCCCGTCATGTCAAAAAACTGCAGTGGAGTCCCTTTAAGATATATATTGTACCCATTCTTCACACAGTTGCTAATGGGGACATCTCAATTACAATATGTCATACTGAGTTGATCAGTTAGCTTGTGCCTTGGGTTTTAGGCTATATTCAATTGTATATTCTGCAAGCAACTTGTACAACTAATATAATACAAGATTGTAACTGTCCATCATGAAAATCAACACTACAAACATACAATATTATACTGTTTTTATATGTTATATTTTCAGGAAATCAGAAGCCTGTAGATGAGGAGAGCAGTGAGATAGATGCTGACACTAGTTTACAGACTGGTGTAGTGTTTGTTTACCAGTTGAGATCATTCCCGTCACTAGACCAGTACTGGAAAATAAAGAGGTCCAGTCAACCATTCACTGTACATACAACAATAGAGGAGAGAGTGGATTCTCTACTAGCAGAAAGGTCAGTTTATTATTATTACAATGTATATACATCCTAGAAAATTTTGTCATTCAGATGGCAAGGCAACAGGCCTATAACACTTGCTTGATGATTATTTTTGATAACTTACCTGATATAAAAATAGATTTTAAGCAAGTGATATTAGACAGTGGCCATAGAAGTTGAATGATAAAATGTACCAAACAGCACTGGTTGAAGGACCTGTAGGTCACAAGAGTCTGTATGCCACCATATATTTCCACATCGTTGTATATATTGAATTTATAATACTGCAATTGTGTTTCATTTACTTTTAGATAAGAGTAAAAATGAAAGATGTTATAAGAAAATAAAAATAATTCTCCTGAGTAAAAATGCTGATTTTTTCTTGTTTGGTTGCACCAGTGAATTCTTTGTTGTTTTATAGGGGTTGGGGCGGTTATTCAATACATGCAATTATGAAAATTCATGAACTTAACAGTGTAAAATTTAATGTTCATTCTGACTGAAATTGAATATCATTACCAATAACATCGGCTCTGCAAACACTTATTGTCTAGAAATTTAAGGGTTATGATTTTTGTTATTAAAATAAATTGATAGATAGCTGGGTTAAATTTAATTTATGTGAACAATAGTTAAACATAATTTGTTTGGTTATTAAATTTTATTAATATAAATTAAATAAGTTTTGCTTTAATTTAATAAAAATACAAAGAAAATGAACGATTGATAAATGTGAATGGGATAATTTAAAGTGTATTAAAGGGAGACACAGGCAAAATTTTCATTTCTTAGTTTTGAAATTTTCATTCATTATTCTGTAAATGTCCTCAAAATGAATACACTAAACAGTCAAAGGAACAAAACTTTTCTCTATATAAAGAATAAAATGGTGTTTTCCTAACTTGACCCGCGTGGGTCAGGTTAGAGTGCTAAAATTTCACAATAGTTGTCACTCTGTACTCTGGAAACATTAAAAAACATGTCAAATCAATTACTTAGACTTGTTTCAATCATACAATATCCACAATATTTGTTATTGTAACTTCCAGGGTTTGTTCAAATCGCATGACTTGTTTTTAAACTATTCGGTGATTCTGTTCGCGTCAAAATTCCGTTCAACATATATAGATATATTTAAACTTCAAACCCAAAATATATAGAATTTATACAGAAATTCATGTTGGGACTTTAAGAAATGTCATTTTAGGGTGATTTCAGTACAGAAAATCATTTTTATATTTTTGCCATTATTTTGCCTGAGTATCCCTTTAAGAACTGGCAGCTATTTTGTTTTGTTTGTTTTTTTAAATTTAAATTTCTGATATAAATATAGACATGATAGAGATGGTTGAGGCGTTTTCTAGGAAATTATGCTTTCAGTATTTGTTTTGTTAGCTCACCTGTCACAAAGTGACACGGTGAGCTTTTGTGATTGCTTGTCATCCCGCGTCCGTCAAGCGTCCATCCGTCGTCCATAAACTTTTACTTAAAATGACATCTCCTCATAAACCACTAAGCCAATTTCATCCAAACTTCACAGGAATGTTCCTTTGGTGGTCACCTTTAAAAATTGTTCAAAGAATTTAATTCCATGCAGAACTCTGCTTGCCATGGCAACTGAAAGAAAAAACTTTAAATATCTTCTTTTAAAAAACCAAAGAGCTAGAGCTAAGATATTTGGCATGAAACATCTTCTAGTGAGTGTCTACAAAGTTTGTTCAAATAAAAGCCCTGGGGTCAAAATTGGCCCTGCCCCAGGGGGTCATTGATTTTCCCTATATGCATATAGTAAAAACTTTAAAAAATCTCTTTTAAAGAACCCAAAGAGCTAGAGCTAAGATATGTAGCATGAAACATGTTCTAATGGGTGTCTACCAAGTTTGTTCAAATAAAAGCCATGGGGTCAAAATTGGCCCCGTCCCGGGGGTCATTTATTTTCCTTATATATGTGTATAGCAAAAACTTAAAAATCTTCTTTGAAAAAACCTAAATAGCTAGAGTTTAGATATTAAGCATGAAATGAAACATCTTCTAGTGAGTGTCTACAAAGTTTGTTCAGATAAAAGCCCTGGGGTCAAAATTGGCCCTGCCCCGGGGGTCAATGATTTTCCTTATATGTGTATCATGAGCAAAAACTTAAAAATCTTCTTTGAAAAAAACCCAAATTGCTAGAGTTTAGATATTTGGCACGAAACATCTTCTAGTGAGTGTCTACAAGGTTTGTTCAAATAAAAGCCCTGGGGTCAAAACTGGCCCCGCCCCAGGGGTGTCATTGTTTTTAACTATATGTGTATAGTAAAAACTTAAAAAATCTTCTTTTAAAAAAACCAATGAGCTACAGCTTAGATGTTTAGCATGAAACATCTTCTTATGGGTGTCTACCATTTAGTTTGTTCAAATAAAAGCCCTCAGGTTAAAATTGGCCCTGCCGGGGGTGGAGGGGGTGGGGGGGCAGATCATTGTTTTTCATTATATGTGTGTAGTTAAAATTTTACATCATGAAACATCTTCTTATGGGTGTCTTCAAAGTTTGTTCAAATAAAAGCCCTGGGGTTTAAACTGGCCCTGCTCCAGGGGCCTATAGACAGGTGAGCGAACTCAGGGCCATCATGGCCCTCTTGTTTTGTTGGATTTGGGTTTTATGTCACACCGACACAGTATAGGTCATTGAGCGACGTTCCAGCTTTACTGGTGGAGGAAGACCTCAGGTGCCCCTCTGTGCATTTTTTCAGGCACAAACGGGCACCTGAGAAGAACCACCAACTTTCTGTAAGCTAGCTGGATAGCTTCCTCACATAGAAGAATCCAAGGTCCCTGTCGGGATTCGAACCCGCAGCGGTGAGGGACAAGTGGTTTGAAGTCAAGGACCTTAACCACTCGGCCATGGACGCCCCATGCTTTCAGTAAATTTTAAAGGTATCGAATATGTAATGCATTGTAATGATTTACATTATACATTTTATATTGGTGTAATAATTCACGGTGATAGGGCGATTACCACAACTTTTCCGCGCAACGTCAAAATATCTTACTTCTGTCCGAGACACCGTATATTTCTGTGGAACAAAATGGATAGCAAGCCTGTAACTGAGACGAAAACAGCATATAATTTGCTCAAAACAAGGTAAAATCATCATTTTTCCTTTTCCATCGAATGTGCCATTTATTTTGAAACTTATTTATCTTTACTACATGCAAAATGCTTCATTAATTAAGTCAGGATAGTGAAAACATTTAGGGTATACTGAAAAATATCTTGCTTTGATTACGAAATATAACGTATTTCTAGTCCGTTCAGTTCATATAACTGGTCAAAATACGATATAAATATGTACATTATTGTCGTATGAACAAGTTACAATACATAAATAACCCGTTTTTTGTATATTTGGTGTGATTTTTATGTTTCCACGTGTGTATTTTAAGGCACCGCACAACTTTGTCAATCATAAGATTAGGGCACCGCATTATTCCTCCTTAAAATCACTGCATTTTTCGGTCTTTTTAGCACCGTTGATTTTTGATATTAATGTTTGCTTTCAGAAAAAGAAGACGTTCAAACCTATTTCTGAACAAGCCAAAGCAACGTGCGAAATTGGCAAAGCTGCCAATACTGCAGCAACTGGAGAGCGCCCAACTAAGTCTTCTGATATCAGCAGTACGCCAATGGATCAGCGCCTCCCTGTATTTCAGGACGATATGCGTAACGCACCACATAAGAAAAAGAATATGAAGTCAAACTTTCGCAAAAGATTGTTTAAAAAAAGCACATTGGAGACGATGACTGAAGAGATTATGGAAATATTGCCCGGGTTCCTGCAAAAACTACACCATGAAAATTTGTGTTATGACTTTTGCAACTTTATCAAATTAGTATGCAATAAGAAATTCCCAGTAACAAATAGTTCATTCCTTTTGTTTCTCGATGTTGTTTGTTGACCACACGTATAGTCTGCCAAGAACTTCAATCTTTCCATGTGGGGTTTATCTGTTTGAATAAGTTCGAAAAGGAAAATACATCCTTATCTATAAAAAGATACCATTGCACTTATCTAACTGGTAGTAATAACACAGATCAGACCTTCAGAAATTTTCCATAACATAACGTATGATATAACAGCAACATAACATAACAGCAAGTAAACAATTTTTCATCAATTTTTCATCAAATAAAAGTTTTTATAAAACATATTTGTAAGAAGATTGTATAATTCAAAAGAAGACGGTTCCAGTATTTATCGGTCTAACGGAAAAAGAATGCGGTATTTGAATTCAGTGTTGTACGGTGCTCCAATATTCGGGTCAGTAGGCCTTTTTTCAACAAATATTCCCTGAAATTTACGATAGAAACATACAATTTTGTATGGAACTTGAACTTAGGGTTAACCATAATAAATATGCGAGCTTGTTAGGTCATAGAACAAAGACATCGTCGTTATAACACACGTTTTTGTGACAAGTACGAGTCATGTTGAGGTACTCACGATCTTTTGTAAACACTATTTCTTCGAAGTATGTGTTTTTTTATGAATTGTATTGTGCTAGATTAACAATAAATTGTCTCAAAAATTCGATGGAATACTTAAACAATTGGAATAATCTTGCAATGTCCAGCAGTAAGATATTTTGTAAGCTATTACCTGGAATTTGTTTATCCCGCTATTAATATTTTGTCCATAAATATACGGTGTCTCGGTCAGAAGGATGATATTTTGACGTTGCGCGGAAAAGTTGTGGTAATCGCCCTATCACCGTGTTATTGATTCTAGTATGAAAACAGGTTATGCACTTTTATATCTTTCACCACTCATGTTCTACATTAAAATCCTGCTATGGTCATTTCATGTTTTCAACTGATGATGTCTATAGAAGGTAGATTGTTGTAGGCAAATTCTTGGTAACAGTAATGCATGATGGGATATCTGGAGTACTACCTGTATCAGTGAAGCTTAAAGTTATGATGTAGCTATTTAATGAAAGTTTACTTGATTCATTTTGTTTCTGTTAGTTACAAACCCATGCCGCTTTTGTGAACGTAAAAAAGTTATTGCAAGGCTGTACATGATGTGATGTCATTTTACTTATACAAACATACAAATTTAGTGTAAAATTGTGCTAAATGTGGTTGTTACACAGTGAGCATTTTAATGAAATAATGATTATAGTTTTCTGTAAACAGTTTTTATTTTGGATATATATATGTTATAAATAGTAAGAGGATATTTTTTTGTTTGAGTGAAATATGAAATACTTTTTCATGAAATATGATAAAATTCCATATATTTTCACAAGCCAGAACGGCGAGTAAATGATATAGAATTTGATCATGTTCAGTGAAAATATATTCCATATTTCTGGAAAAATGAAAAAAATATCCTTTTTATTTAATTTTACCTTCAAGGAAAATAATTGTTTACAAGTACACCTATTTGCTACGCAGTTGCTATTGTACAGCACACAGTAATACATTGATTAATATAGGTGTGTGAGGTGGTTTGAATTCAATACACAATATATCTAAGCTATCTTGATCCATTTTGAAAAACATAACCAGATAATTTCTGGTGATGAAATGAATAGCTGAAGCTACTGACGGCAACTGTGAGAGAAACATCATTCTGAGAAAGTAATCCTATAAATAAATGAGTTTTGGCTCTGCCCACTTTCATATTTATTTTTCATATTTGTTTCTTCACAAACATGACATATATTTGGCTGATATAGCACCATATTTCTTTGGTAAAATTAAATAAAATATCATATTTGGGTAGCTTCATTGCTAAATTTTTTGAACTCAATGAATAAAATTATATTTGCTCACAAGAGGCACATTTATTTAATATTCTAACACGCTCGCATTTTTCACGATTGAATATAGAAGAACCAAAAGTGTGTGATATTATGCAATAGAGTCACAGTTGACGTTCTATAGTTAGATATGTGACGTACATGTGATATAACCACTAAAAGAATAAGTACAGAAACAAATCAGGCGCAATTTTGCTAAATATCAGATACTGCAGCATTTATTTGTTGATGTTGTGTTAGAATCGAAATAAAATTTTTTTATCTAAATTGGTGATTTTATCGCTTGATAACATCACTGTTTGTCGTTCGGATGCGCATCATAATATCACTCGGGCTACGCCCTCGTGATATAATTAGTCGCATCCGAACGACAAACAGTGATGTTATTGAACGATAAAATCAATGTTTGGGATATATTATTTCTTAAATAACATTCATGCAGAATTGCACATACACTCATTCAATATTGTCTATTTATAGAATTGCGTTACAAGCAATGAGGAAGAATAGGATGCAGGATAGATGGGCGATGTTGAAAGATGAGATAAATAACATCCATTCAATCAAAGAGATTGCTAGAATTAATGCTACTAAACGCAATATAGTGGTAGGTATATCCTTATACCTTATATAGACATAAATCTTATATAACATTAATCTTATATAAGCACAAATATTGTGTGCATTTTTAATGAAAAATTTTACTGCCCATCCTTTTCACCCCTATATTTTTTACACAACTGTTGATTACTGTGTTATGCACTACCATCATGACTTATAACAACTTTGTAACCTCTTGTTAACCAGGTTTTCAATTTTGAAAATCCTGGTTATTAGATTGGGGTATGGCGGGCGGATGGGCGGATGGGCGGCTGGGCGGATGGGCGGATGGGCGGGCGGGCGTCAAACGAAATTGTGTCCGCTCTGTAACTCTTCAACCCTTTGAAGAATTTTGATGAAACTTCAGACAAATGTTTACCACATCAAGATGACGTGCAGAACGCATGTTCCGCATGGCTGGCTCCAAGGTCAAGGTCACAGTGACATTAACATTGAAAATCCTGTCCGCTCTGTAACTCTTCAACCCTTTGAAGAATTTTGATGAAACTTCAGACAAATGTTTACCACATCAAGATGACGTGCAGAACGCATGTTCCGCATGGCTGGCTCCAAGGTCAAGGTCACAGTGACATTAACATTGAAAATCCTGTTTACATGATTTTAACTTGATTTGGCAGTCAAAGGTCATATCATCTTTGGAGGTAATTTAAAAAAGATATGATATATTATTTCATGTCTACTTTGTAACTTGTTTTTCATTATACAGAATTATCAATATAATTATAGTGAACAAATTCTTCTGTGCTGAACTCGTCCTACATTTCTCAACGGATTTTGTTCAAACTTTCACAGAAGCTTTGTCATCAAGCACCCTGGCACATATTGTCGGGGTTTTGTGATTGGATAGTTTTTGACCTAATTATGGCCCTTTGTTTTTTTCCTTATACATAATATTATAGTGAACACTTCTTCAGTGGCAATTCCTCCTACATTATTCATGTTTTACATTGCACATAGTTACATTGTTTGTTGCTTGTATTTGTATTTCAAATACAACATATTTATCTACAATGGTGATAATTGAAAACCTGGTTTCATGGCATTGCCATGTTTCTTGTTATTATATAATTTACCTGACAGTTTTCAGTTTGTCACTTAATTATAATAAAAATCTCTTGTCATCTTCCTTAGGAAATAATTGTCTCATATTTTACATGATTTAATTACTTTGTAGCATTATTTGAAACTTTTTTGTCTTTCTTGAAATTGTGTAATGTTATTAATTTTGTACTTTAATATTTGATATATCATCACCCTTAGTGCAATAATGGGTTAATTCTGGTTTAATCATATATTATGATACAAATAGTTAACCCATTACTGCACTAAGGTGACAATATATATATTTGATTTAAATAGGTATTTCGGATGTTACAGTTTATAAACATACATTGTCATTGTTATCTATATAAGGGTAACTGCTGGTGTATCCAAGTACTTATGACAAATTAGAAATTACTTTAATGTCTGATTTTCTTTTACTTAAACCCCTACACGTTCTTGTGGTAAGGGAATTGCATAAAATACAAGTGTTAATCAAAGATATTGTGACAAAGGAAAACAATAAAAAATATCATTGTATTTCACAAATAAATTTACTAAGTCATTGCCAAATATCTTACCATTCCCAAAACACCTACTAAGCCATTATAATTATGCTAATTAGTGGGCAGGTAATATAGCATCCCACGTGCCCATAGCCTCAAAAAACCTAAAAAATTTACCAGAGAATGAAACTAGCTATTGGAAAACAAAATATTTTTATCAATTTTCAGTAAAGCATGTCCCCCTATGTCATTACTGTAAGGGGTTGCAGCCAAATTTGCATATTAAATTAGGCGATGCATGAAAAGACGTAGACAATGATTATGAAAGGAGCTTAATAGTTAACATGGCGTTTATAAGAACTAAATATATTGCATTTGATGTCTGGTGACGTCTTAATACTTGCATTATATCAATATTTTTATATCTTTTGGTTTACCGAGACCCGCCAACTCAGTTTTTTTTTTTAGTTTGGAAATTGACAAGTAAAATCTGAAGAAAAAAGTGCAATTCATTCATGTATACTTTCGATACAGAAAAAAATGCAAATATGTTTAGAGGCTTTAAAATGTACAAGAATTTATCATTGACAGATCAATAACATAATTATGCTTTATATAGCATTCATACATATTGATCAATTTGACATTCTTTAAATACCTGAATATTATTGTTTAATTTGTATCAGGGAAATAAAAACAATTATGATACTTTGCAATAGACTAAATCACCAATTAAAACATCATAAAATACAACAAACGAAAGTACTTCTTTGACAAAGATCACTATTATAAAAATGATATATCATGAATGAATGAAAATTATACTGATACTTTATAATTGTCATTGTTCTTTACTAATTCTTAATTATCTGTGATATCCATATTATATATATCTAATTAACTTGTTCATAATTATTACGAGATTTGATTTTTTATTGATACATTTTCCTTCCTCAACAACAGGATAAATATATGTTTATGCATTTTTAATAGTATATAATTATCAAGTTAACTTGTAATTTCATGATGGCATTTTGTTTTTTATTAATGCATTTTCCTTCCTCAACAGCAAGATATATGTTTATGAATCTTAAGGTGAGATATACATATATAAAAGACTATTGACTTAGTTGTCCTTGCCTGCATTTTAAAATTTATGGTTTTAAGTCAGTGCAGTGTATAATTATGGTGCAACTCACTGCATTTATTATTATTATTATTATATACCACATTTCTATAGCACTCTTTTCATAAATAATAAATGTTCAAGAGTGCTTTACATAAATCCGATAAAACATAATCATATATATATAAGAGATAATGTACAACATTAATTAAGTAAACCTATTAAACAATAATGATAATCTAAAACCAGTAAAGGATGGTAAGAAATACAGACACATTTAGTTTAAAATCAAGGCTCAATTAAAATTAACACTGATAATATAGCAAAAGTAGTACATGTATGATGATTTATGAACTAACGTCCATAGAACTTTATGAAATAATGTGTTTTGAGAGCTCTCTTAAAACATGGCAAGGTATTACAGTCTCTAACGTCAGGTGGTAACGCGTTCCATAATTTTGCTGCAGCTGTCTGGAAGCACCTGTCACCATATCGTACTGTCCGAGATTTAGGCACAACTAATGTCATTGAGTTATTCTGGGACCTCAGATTTCTGACTGGGATGTACACGTCTATCATGTCTTTTATATAGACTGGTGATTGATCGTCGCGCGCATGCATGGAATCGCACATCGGATAAAGGTGGACAAAATGAGAGATGGCGGAACGCGCGGAGTGCGAAATATGACAGATTTTCACAAGAGTATGTGGTGTTATTGCAGCTTTGTGAAAAATTATACACATATGAATGTATTGATACAGTATTATTTTGTGTCGCTAAAGTATTAATTGAGAAAATATGCCGATAGAACGATGCAACACTTAGTTAAAAGAGTACCTAATTTAAAAAATATTCGCCTACTGTTTAGGCATACTCTCTACATTTTGACGCCCTTTTACTTCAAGCACAAATTATTACCGCGATTCAGATTAAGATAATTCTTTTTAACATGGTTTAATGGGTGCATTGCAAAAAAATGTTTCTTGATTGCTTAATAACTTTTAAAGAAATTCATAATTCGAGGGTTCAAAGGTAAAAGGTAATAACTGCCATTTTCAAGATTTCGAGAAAAACGCAAAAAACATATTTTTTTAATACAACTTTATTTTCCGTAATATTGTTATAACAATTTTGATTCTCCCATATTTGTTGACTACATTAGATCATATTTTGCTTAGTTTACATTGCTTGGTGCTGATAAAACACTGTAATTATAGTTTGTTTTAAAGTTCTAAGATCAAAATGATATCATTTTACAGAAGTAAAAGGTAATAAATGTACTTAGATCCTGTCAAGACTACAAGTTTGAGCGGTAAAAGGTAATAACTGCACTTACGACCTTTTACTTCTGAAGGTTTAGCAATAAAAGTTAGAGATAAACTGTGGTAAAAGGTTATAAGGTTATATTGTTCCTCTGAAAAATTTAGATGTTGCAGTAATTGTTACTGTTGCAAATTTATCAATTATGTCCTTACTTTGAAGAACCTTACGTAATGTAATTAACACAATGCACATTAATACTCGTACACAAAATTAACACTTTTCATTCATAGAAATATGAAATATGTACCTGCTCAATATTTAGATTCTACAGAAATAAATTAATAACTATAAAGTTTACGAAAATACGCACTAAAATCTAAGTTTACAAATTTCATTTATTTTGAATGTTCTCTGGTATATAATCGAACTGAAGTCAAACAGACCCCAGACATCAGCAGTTAAGGATATTAGTGACCCATATCATAGTTAAGTAAATAAAGACTACTGTTTCATGTCACAAAATGTGAATGTTTGTCATTAATTATTCTATGACCTCCACTCATCTTCTTCACTCTCACTAACAGAAGGCACTGAAAGTTTGTCTTTTATAGATTTGCTGCATGGCAATGACTCATAGTATGATTCGCACTCCTTCAGAATTGTTCCATAGGCAACAAGTGACATCAAATCAGCTTTTGCAGCAGATATTGGAAGCTTCTTTGTATAAGCCTTTCGTGGAGCCTTAAGAGACTTTTCTTTGCTTCTGTTCTTCTTCTGCATTAACCTAACTGCCTTGAACTCACTACCCACAAAACCATAGCTCACAACAATACTGTATTTTTGTCTTTATCACGTCATTACGTCATTCGATAACGTCACATGTTTAGCAGCAAAACAAAACTACATAATTATAGATGTTATTTTATCGGGGAAAAAGAAGAATGGAACCATTTAATTATTCTAAAAACATTATTCAAAGCAGGATAAAACAAATACATGGTTGATGTCGGGCTGGAAAAGGTTTATCCGGTTCACTGCGAAAGTGAATC